AATATGGAATATCCCAAATGACATTATAAATTATTCCTAGTCCAATCTAAATTTTGTTCCTTTTTGCTTTATGTAGTTTTTAGAATTAGAATCTTAATAAGTCAACAAACTCAAATAAACTTTTAACAATAGCATTTTTGCTATAATAGGGAACTGCTTTAATCATGTTATAGATAGTATCTGAGATAGTCTATATTTATTTAAAAGAAAATTCATTTTAGGTTTTATCTTTTTTAATAGAACTCAATTTGCAGTAATTAGAATTATCGCAAAATGCGGAATATCTCTAATATTATTTTAATTTAATTAGTATCCGAAGCAAAGTCAAATATTTACTTGCGCCAAACAGCAATTAGCTTCCCTTATAGCCAGGTCATACTGTGGCTAAGGTCTCATTTTCTGTGGACCGCATTTCAGTTCCAAATCCCCCATTTTCAGCTGCAGCTCCACTAAATGCAACGGCTTTGGCTACTGGTCTTACTTTTGAGTTTTACCAAAGTTTTGGAATGGGATTTTTGGGGTTGGGGGCAACAAATATGCCTTTCATTTGTTGTGGTTGTTGTTGTTGTTGTTGTTCTTGTTTGGAGTGTTTATCATTAACGCGTCGCACATTATTGTTATTATTATTATTGTTGTTGTTGTTGTCGTGCTTTGCATACGCGAGACATAACTTGAAAACTACTTGAAGAGCATACTACAAGAAGAAAACAGAGCAGAACCCAAAAAGAACAGCAGAGCACAGCCAGCCAGCCAGAGACCCAGACAAATAACAAATAATCTGATAACTCGTTTTGTACCTGAGACAGAAGAGACCCCCAGCACCAGGCCGAAGAGTTCCAGACCAGCTCCGGAGCAGAGCAAAGGGAAAGTCTCCATTGGTGGAAAGCAGGCGCAGCACGGAACGCAGCCCAATGCCGAGGTTGAGGTTGAGGCCGTGGCAGTGCCCTAAAGTCTGCGCTGCATATAGCACACACAAACACACACACCTATACACACACATGTACAGGTGAGTGTGTATAGGTGTGTGTGCGTCTTTATAAGTTTTGTGCGCGAGGTCCGAGCTGGCAAGTGCTTATCCAAGTGGCTGTGGCAATCCTTTAGCCAGTTGTTATTGTTGTTGTTGTTGCTGCTGCTGTTGTTGTTGCTGTTGTTGTTGTTGTTGTTGTTGGTGTTGTTGTTGTTGCGCTTAAGTGGAACGTGGTTTGCATTGTGCGCGCTGTCAAAATGACGCTCGTCGAGGCTCGAGGCAACGGGTCGACGGAGCTCGACTTTGCAGCGCATGCGCAACGGACGTTCCATTTGTGTTGCCGTTGCCGTTGTTGTTGTTGTTGCTGTTGCTGTTGTTGTTGTTGCTGTTGATTTGCTTGTGGTTGTGGCAGCAGCAGCAGCAGCAGCCACAGCTCTGCCCGCAGCACTCGGCTTTGGCTCTGTCTCTGGCTGTGGCTCTGTTTCTGGCGCGCGATAATAATCTCGACTGCGGGCCGCGCTTCGTCTTGGTTTTATTTTTTTTTATTTTGGTCTTGCCCCGGCCCCGGCAACGTCCCCTGCCCCTGCCCCTGCCACAGCTGCGCTGCGACGTCAGCGTATTTCGGTAGCTGCCGCGTAAATTACCTGCATGCGGACGTATGGCTGGCCAGGTAAACACACTGCGCACACACACACACACATGTGTGCACACACACTCGCACACACACCTAAGCATACACACTCGTTTACCAACAGTCGGGCAGACAATCGCCTCACGCGTCTCGTGTGTTTATTAGTGCACTGGCTGAGGCCCATGACAAGTACTCGCACATGATTTGTTATTATCATCAAAGCCTTTGCCAAACTATGCACAAAAAGTGTACTTAGCTTAGCAAGTAAATTGTAAGATTTCTTTTGAGCATAGCTCACTTATAACCTTATCTGAAGCTAATCAATTTCCATGCGGAATATCAGTTTGTTCATGATTTTTCCATTTGGCATCTCAATTAAAGTCATTTCGGGGACTCGATTTTGCTTATTATAAATATATATATTGTTATTATAAATATTATATTATATATTATAAATAAAACGACGCTGGATGGCATATGTTAGGCCTAAAAATCTATTTCAAAACAAAAATTTTGCTTAATTTAAAAACTATTTTGGCAATTCCTCTTTCTAGACTTTAATCTTCCATAACTTGATTTAATCCAAACCAATTTTTGTCAAAGCCACAATTTTGACCATGGTCATTAGCTCTGTTCAGCTAACATGCATACGTTCTAATTTCCGTTTAATTTCTTCTTAAATTCTTTTGTCCAATAGCATTCCAGAAATGTGTGACTTCCATAGTTAGAACCCTGCAAGAACTTCAACTGAACCGGGCTTCAAAAAGGACAGCAATTTTGGCTATGTTTTGGTGTCCAGATGAATTCTACAAAAATAAAAGAAAGTTGATTAGCGGCATTGCCAAATCTCTAGTTTTTTGGTGTCTCGACCAATCCTAGATTTAGATTTAAAATCAGGAATTTAAAGATATTATGGTATTCCAAATTATATAATATAGACATGATAATTCTATAGATATTTTCCAGCACTTTCAACTGCAAAGACTGAATATTATATAAGATTGAAGATCGTAGTTCCGGTTATCCTTTGATTCGTAGATTTTTTCTGCAATTGAGCTTGTAATTAATAAGATTTTCTTTCGAAAAAGTAAAATTTTCAGTTTTGATTACCAGACCACATTAGTATATCTCTTCGTTTGGATAATAATGCTGGATGTTTTAAATATTTGTATATACTCACCTTTTTTCCTGAATATTTCTTGGTTGACACCGCCCGCCCGCCTGCTCCTCCGGGTAGTCGGTTCCGTCTTCCTCGTGCGACTCGCCTGCAATCTGGAGCTGGTGTGGATAACAACCTTTGAGTGTTTTTTATGGCCTACCCGCGTCAGTTGTTGGCAAGGACACTGCGCGAAAAACTGGGCCAAAAGAAACAGAGCTGGCTTTCACAGCTGGCTTTAGGCTTTGTGCTGGCAAGTTAATTTGATGCTGATTTCGCTCAGTGTATGCAACGATTGCTGCTCATTTGTCTGGACCGGCTCAGACGCAAGCTTTGCGCACTTTTGGAGCACTTCAGCTGCCAAGTTCTCGAGTATTGTTGTTCAACTTGACGAACCGTTGTGCGTAGGGAAAGCAGCGTCCCTTCGGCTTGATGAGTAGCCAGCCCTTTGCTTCGGCTTCTTCTTCTTCTTCTCGTTGTTGTTGTTGCTGTTGTTGCTGTTGTTGCTGTTGTTGTTGTTGCTGTTGCGCATGTGCAAAAGGATAGCAGACAGCACACAGAGACTGGGATTGCCCTGCCTTGGCCTGGCCGCGTGTCGTTGTCGTGATCATGGTGGCTACTGCTGCACGTTCCCCTAACCCCTCCCTCCGCCCCCCTCCCCACCCCCGTTCGCCGTCTGCTGGCGTTGTTAGTTGTTGTTAAACAAGCGAAACGTTGTGCCCGATAATCATCTACATGTTGGCTCTGGAAGCGCAGTTTAGCGTAGTGCGAACAGATGGTGCAGAAAAAAAAAAGCAAGAGTGCTCTAGTCGGGCATGCTTGACTCGGTAGATACCCAGTTGTAAAGCCTTGCACTTTAAAGCTTCGCATTTACACACAGTAAACGATGTGAAAGTGCTTCTTCTTTCTTTATCCACCCCCCCCTCTATAAAAAATGCAATCTTTTCTAACTTCGGTATTTATAGTCCGATCTTTATAAAATTTGCAGCGCTTTTATGTGGCATGCCAAAGTGTATACATACCTCAATTTTTGGGGAGATGGTGCGTGATATTCAGAAGGTCAAATATATGATTCTGGCTTTCCGAGCTCCAAGCTGAAAAGGCTCTCAAATGCCTTACAGAACCTTTTCATGCAGACGGCCATATCTTTAGATGACTTAAAGCGAAATTGTGCTTCCAGGGCAATGGATATAACCATGGTAAACATGTTAAGTCCCTTTCGAGCTTCTAGCTCTTGAAGTCCTTGAGATCGAGATCGCGTCGCCAATTGATGCTGATCAAAAGTCTTTAAGCTTTATCAAGTCGCAGCTGCCTCCTTCATTTATATGCCACAAAATCATAATGCCCCATTGATAGTGGTTGCAGGGTATATACGAAAAAAAGTTTCTCTGCGCACGAACTGAAACCAAATCCTGGCCCAACTCGGCGCAAAAGTTCCTGGCATTGAGCGCTGGCTTCTTTTTTTTTTTCTTTTTCGGTCAACCTTTCCGCAGAACGGCAAACACAGCGTCCGACACCCGCCCGCTGTGCGTTTCAAGTGTGCACAACAAAACAAAACACACGCACAACCAAGTGGCGAGTGCGTTGGCAATCATCAATCACTGGCAAATACTTCACGCCATTCACCAAAAAAAGAAATTCCTCGTATCCTGGCGTGCCTTATCACGCAACGGCTGGCTGTGTCCTTCTCTCTCTCTCTGCGCGTCGCTGAAAAAGTCATTAAAGATGCGCAACAGCCATTTGAATGTCTTTGCCACTCGAGGACCCAGAGCTCTTCAGCACAACAATGAAGATGTGAAAATGCACGCTTTCCCTGATTGCCGACACACACACGCACACACACGCACGCACACTCTCATAAAATATCACGTAAATCCAATCACCAACTCCGGGCGCAGGCGCAGGCGCATAGACCCAGCGACGCCTCTATTGTCCTCATTCAGCTCAAGTGGCCGAGGCTCTGCCCCGTTGTGCCTAAATGATTTCCTGGAAACGTAGCTGCGCTCGTCTGATCTTTCTTTGCGTTCGGCTCTCTTTGCAGGTGATTGATATTGATCCCTTCTGGCTGCCCACAACCGAGGAGGAACTGATGCACTTTGGCGAGAAAGCCGATTCGGCAAATCGCGCCAAGCTCTACATGGACAGCGTCCGGCGGCGCAAGGGCCTCTTTGTCGACGAACAGGTGGTGGAGCATGCCGAGAAACAGCGCACGCTCTCCAAGAACAAGTGAACCAAAACACACGGGGTGAGTTCTTCAAAATATACATATAAAATCTGTGTCTTTATTGGCTTGATAAAAAAATGAAAGAAAGAAAGAAAGAGAAAATAATTGCGGGGGCGTCTTTAATGTGCCGCCTCTTGGTTGGCATTGTTTGTCCTGTCCTGGACATCCTCGTTGTTGATCAGCCCGCTCTCCTTCTCCGGCACTTCGGGCACGGCCAGCGAGCTCCGGCCCAGCACAATGTGTATGCAGCTGCAGCAGAAGAGAAGCTTTAACTTGAGCAAGGGTTGGGATTGGGATTGGGATTAGCAGTCACTTACAGTATCATGAGGAAGACGGCCAGCTGGGTGCCAATGGTCAGGAGATAGACGCCGCCGCCGTGATTCGTGTTGAGCGTGGCCCGATAGATTTGGGAGTAGCAGACGCCGCTAATGAATGGCACCGCATTGTCGCAAACGGAGAGCAGGGCAAAGACCTTGCCGCGCTCCGATTGCGGCACAATCTTCGAGGTCATCGAGCGGATCATGGGCCCCACAATCGGACCCAAGCTGCAGACCACGGCGCCGGCATAGAACAGCGTCGGATTCGGCGCAAAATAGTAAAACAAACGGGCTATCGCATGCGCCCAGGTGCCAATAAAGATGATCGTCTAACAAAAGAGCAGAGCAGAGAGCAAATCAGTTATGGACTTGGCTTGGAGTGGGGCAACACGGACCGTATCGCGCCAGCCGAGCAGCTTGTTCATCAGCGGCACCGCCAGCAGCATGGCAATCACAAAGGCCGTCGACTTGAAGGTCTTGAAGGTGCTGTAGGTGCTGACCTGCCAGTTGAACTTGTCGAACGTATACAAATACAAATAGTTGCCCTCGTCCCGCTGGAACGTGTACAGCGCCATGCTGGCGAGCAAAATAAACAGAAAGCTGCGTCTGTGGCCACGTCGCGGCTTCATCAGCACGCCCAGCGAGTCCTTGATGTGCTGCCTGTCAAAGAAATCGCACCAGAAGCCGCAGCAGCCCAGCTCGCGCAGCGATCGCTGATTGGGCGTCGTTTGCCACTGAGTTGGGGTTAGGGCAGAGTTGAGGTCAAGTGGAGCAGCAAGGAGACCTCACCCGAACTCACCTTCAGGACCAGGAGCGTGTAAATGATGGCCAGCAGCAGCAGGAAAGCGTTAACCGCAAACATGTCCGCATAGGACTGATTGAACACATTGTAGAAGAGATACGAGCCCAATGCAACGCCCGTTGGCATTGCGGTCAGGTAGATCGCATCCAATATGGTCACCCTAATCGTGCGCTGCTGCAGCGTCGTTATATCCGATATATACGCAAAGCACGAGGCAAATATGGCCACATCGGCCCCCGTTACCGCCGATGGCAGCGTTGCCGTATAGATAATATACTCCACCGGCCATGTCGGCATCTTGGCATTCACCACAATCATCGTCGAGTAGATTAACTTACCCACCAGACCCATCAGCAGGGGCAGCTTGCGACCGCGCCGATCCGAAAAGGAGCCCAGAAACAATGCTATAATAATGGGAAAAATGTGCGCCGAGATGTCCTCCCATTGATGGAACCATGCGGTCGTATCTAGCACTTGTTTCTTGTACGCCTCGTACTCCGGCTTGTTGATATTCGCACAGATCTCAGCGCTGAAGTTATTATTCACACGGCAGGCCTTTTGCAGAAAGAAATTCTGCTCCACCACCGAGGTGATCATGAAGGCGAACATGTACAGGAACATCGTTGGCTCCACGGAAGTGGATCTGATGCAGTGCATCAGCCACTGGCCGAAGCTGCGTCGCGGCGGTGCAACGGCGACGGCATTGCTGCTGGCAACCGAGCTGCTCGCAATGCTGTCGCGTCTGTTATTTTCTGAGCCACCCTGAAAGTAGGCAACACTTTTATAATTTACAATATCAAAATTGAGTCAAAGAGCAGGAGAGCGCGCGGCGTGGAGTGAGAGTGACGCCGCAGCCGAGGCCGAGGCTCAGGCGCAGTTCGTATTGGCGGAAACACGCTGCCTATCTGCCTGTGTGTGCGTGTGTGGGTGAGTAAGCGAGCGAGCGCTTGAAAGCTCTGCTAAGAAAAAGCTTTAGCTGAGCGCAGCAAAACACGTTTTTGTGTACAGCTGCCGCCGCCTGATATACATATATTGTTTTGTTTTGTTAAAGCAAAATATGATAACATTGAGTATATGAGTACAAATACACGAGCATTGCGAGGGCTGCTTTTTATATTGTGCAAGAGTGTTAACAGCTGAAATTTTAATTGGAAAATTTCGAGCACACATGGTATTGTATATAATTTATTGTATATATATGTATGTATGTATGTATATCACTAGAATATTTTTGCAATACATAGTTAAATTTAGGCATACATTTTATATTAATAGGTGCACAATATTAGAGGCAACCCTCGTGTTTATGTAATTGTATTGTTTACTTCATGCTTGGAATTAGTTACTTTGCTATTGTTTGTAACAAATCCATGTGAGTATTTGTATTTGTTGTCGGATGTATCAAATGCGGCATGCCATAGGAAAGCAGTTTCGCGTAGGAGCTCAATTGCGCGTCGTAACACTTGTCGGCACATATGGATGCACGTAATCATATAATATCATACACACACGCGCATATTCCTGCGGATTGATGCGATTCGATTTGATTCGCATTTAATTCAATTGTGGAAAATGCTGCAAACTCACATTTGGCGACACAATAAAACATAACCAAGACGCGAGAGAATTACAATAAATGTCGCGTCGCACTCACCTCCGCTGCGCTCATTTCAGTTGAGCGCCTCGTTTTGCTCTGCGGCTCTCTCGGCGTGTGTGTTGTTCCTTGTTCTATGTAGCTATTTGTGTGCGAGGTCAAAGTCAAAGCATAAAAGCTTTAATGCTCTCTCGGCAGTCGCAAAGCTTTTTGGCGCCGTTACGAATTTGAATTTAAACGCGCTGTGAAAATATTTGTTGATTTGCGAAATCAACCCTTTTGTTTTCGCACATATAAATAAGATTTGTTTACTATTTGTATGGACATATGGATATACATATGTATGTATGTACATGAACCTGGTTGCCTTCTCTTAATTATTGTGCACTTGCGTTTTATGACGTTTTCTGTGCTGTTTTTATGGCCTATTTAGCTTATCTGGGCCTTAAGTTGGCAAATTTTTGTTGAGTTTTAGCCGTTATCCGTCTGGGTCAAATTCGTCGACGATAAGACTTAAACTTTAAGCATTTGGCAAAGTCACAGAAATTTAGGATCGTCGAAATACTTTATCTTTATGGGCCGATAACTGTTGCCTGGCATTGTGCACTGATTTATATTATACAATTTATGGCTCTAATTGTTTGGCAATAAATTACATTATAATAATAGCTTAATCAGACTGTATGACTTGTGTCTACCAACTATAGATTTCAATCAACTAATCGGAATTTAGCTGTTACCATCGTCATATCACACCTTATTACATGATCCCATTTCACTATCGTATCGTATTACCAGACCTGTCTGGTTTTCCAAATTCAATTGCAAACACTTAAAACTTGTAAAATTACACGTTTATAATTGGTATACCCTTTTGGAGGGTATTATAACTGTATAACACTTAGAAGGAGGCGTCGTCGACTTTAAACAAATTAACTAAAAAAAAAAAAAAAAAAACAAGTGGCTTATACATTTTTGATCGGGATTCACAGTCGAGTTGATATATCCATGGCTTTCTGCGAATTGAAATTTCACTTTTAGAGGCGTCAATGTTTATCAAGATATCTTGATTAAAGTTTAGCAATTCCAAACTTCACTATTCTTCGAGATTACCCGCAAAACTGAATCAAATTTGACTATATCATTTGCCTCTTATGGAAACAAGCAGTCGAATAGTTTTTGTATACACATCTTGGCCATATGCCTATAAGGGTATTTGATCTTCGGCGTGCCGGAGATAGCCGATCTATTTGGGTTTTTTGTCAAACAAATTGCCGTGAAAATGCAATTTTTCGTTCGCTTTTGTTAGCGAGACACTCGCGATCAGATGTTAACCGTCAGGCCGGAGCTTGAATTACCCCCTGCTAAGGGCGCAATCAACTGTTCAGATCTGTAGACGAACACGTACCGCTCGACTGAGACGCTCTCAAACAACTACCTGTTATCGGAGCACGACTATAGTTCTTATACACTTCTTATCAGGCGCATTGACGTCCACCTTAATTGAACAAGATGCACAAGTATATTATTTAAGTGTAAACAGAGAGCGTATAAGAGTCAGATTAAATTTCATTTGATTTCTCCTCGCAGCTATACTCTATTCTAAGAGTATATTGTCGATCTAAATTGCATTTATTAGGGCTAGATCCCAAGGGGCTGCAACCTGAACCTCAGCTTGTTCACAGCTATTACATTATTTTCTTAACTTTTACCTTTTCTTCAATAACAAGTCGTACTCTTAATAAGTAGGGTATGCTAGGGGTCGGTCAGCCCAGCACTATGTGCGAATTATACCAATTAACACACGGACAGCGAACAGCGCACAAGCACACACACAAACAACAGCCTAGAAATAACGGATAATTAATTAAGCGTTTAACAGAACAGCTGAGAAACGTCGCCGAAAGCCGGACTTGCATCTGTATAAAACAACAGCAACGCCGAATCTTAACAGCGACTAGTGAATTTCGACGTATGCTTTACGAGGCAGCGTCTTAGACAGCAAGGAATCGAACATGTTAGGTAGCAGCAGCTCTGTTAACTAAAACAGTCTGTTACTGGCTGGTCACAAGAAGACAGCACCGCGCATCACATGAGACCGCGCGAGAGAAGAAAACGAGGATCGAAGTGTGAGAAATTAATAGGTAGGCAGGCCCAGTTCCGCCCTAGCCATAGAACATATATGTTTCTTAGACGCTTAAAACTTTTCCCTTAGATTGCTAGTATAAGAGTCTAAAAACTCTCTTTACACCTGTTTCCAGCTATTAATACACTCTGCACCAGTCGGAGTCGACTTTACACAACTCTTATCCAATGAATTTGCCTCATTACCAGCTTGTTTTCCTAATAAACGGCTTTGAATTTCTTCTTCTCTTTCTAGAAGCTACAGAAACTCAGGACAATAACGTCAAGATGTTGGCCACTTGGTCTTTGGACAAAACCAATTATAATTTCTGGTGCATAAATGTAAAATAAAATTTTCTATACATTGGTTTTGACACAAAGAATTCCATATTTGTTGAATAAATAAAATAAAATAAATAAATAAATAAAAAATAAATAATATATTTTGTAATGTGACCATGCATGCATGCAATTTATTCTGCTGCATACTTTCGGGCATATCAGTAAATGCTTTGTTTGCGATTAAATCATGCTGCATGCTTTTGTGCGGCACACTAAACCGGTGTGTTCGCAATATATGATGAAGCATACTTTCGGGGCTAAATATAAATGAATTATTGAGAGCATGTAGCATACTTTTGTGCGGCAGCTACTAATTTGCATATGACAGTTATTTGTGTAGCCTACCTTCAGGCATATGTGAAAATTCATTCAGATCAATTTTTTCGGTTTTTAGGGTGGTCACTAAAAGTGCCAAAAGTTTTTCAGTTCGTGCAGCTATTTTGCAGCTTAGAGACTTGATTTTTGTGGATACGTTCAGCATGAATACAAATACATATTGTATACGCAAAAATAGCCTAATTGGACAATTGTCAAATTTTTGGTTTTTAGGCTGGTCACTAACAGTGAAGCATTCGGAATATAAGATGAAGCATACTTTCGGGGCTGAACTTAAAATAAGTATCCAGTGCAATTTAGTGTAACATACTTTTGCGCGGCACCTCATAATTTGCAGCAGACATTTATTTGTGCAGCATACCTTCAGGCATATGTGAAAATTCATTCAGATCAATTTTTCCGGTTTTTAGGGTGGTCACTAAAAGTGCCAAAAGTTTTCCAGTTCGCGCAGCTATTTTGCAGCTTAGAGACTTGATTTTTGTGGATACGTTCAGCATGAATACAAATACACATTGTATATGCAAAAATAACTTAAGTGGACAATTGTCAAAATTTTGGTTTTTAAGCTGGTCATAAAATGTTTATGGATACGTTCAGCAGACGTGCAAGTTTTCGGAGCTTAGAGGCTTGGACTTTATGGATACGTTCAGCAATCCTGCAATTGCACATTAAATGCACTAATAGAAGATAAATGAGCAGTCGGTTTTTTAAATATGAGTTTTTCTTTAATTTTTCTGTAATGATAATGAGTGAGAATGAGCTGAGCAAAACAGACGCAGCAAATGTCAAGCCATTGACGCTTCGCTTTGTCGTTGCTGTCGTGGTTTCCCCGTTGCCGCGTGACTGCTTGGATAGATGGCAGCTTGGATGGCTTCCCTATGCCTGGAGTCGCCGGCCGTTGGGGTAATTTGAGATGGCTGCTTAGGCTGCTGCTCCACGCCCAACCGCCCTAACCCTGACTAAGATCAAACGCTGCTCTGTCTGTACGGAGCCACCCTAAAGAGACGCAGCAACAGTAGAGTCTAGACTCTAGACTCTAGATTGTAGAGCATTTGCATAGTGGCCCTCAGTTATCTGGCACTCAGGTGGGTTGGCTCAGTTAACAACTAGCTGCCGAACGTGTCGGCTCGTCGGTTCGGTGTTACTAAAAACTATATAAATTATGTCAGATGCAGATAGCAGGCGATTATTAACGCAGGATCAGCATGAGCTGCAGATGGTGCGCGTTGGCCAGGGCAATGGAACGTCCAGCGATAATCCGAGCGTGGATACCACGCCCAAGTTGTCCAAGCGCAACAGTTCCGAGCGCAGTCTGCCGGTGCGCAGCTACAGCAAATGGTCGCCCACGGAGCAGGGCGCAACGTTGGTCTGGCGCGATCTGTGCGTGTACACCAATGTGGGCTCCGCACGTGGCATGAAGCGCATCATCAATAACTCCACAGGCGCTGTACAGCCAGGCTCGCTGATGGCTCTGATGGGCGCAAGGTGAGCCCCGGCTACGCTTCTGTGAATTTGTGCAATACAAGTAATCGATATGGCTATGGAGCTGTCAAAGAGTGGAAACTAGTTTGTGTGCTTACCAGAAATTCCATTCCATAAAACTGGGTTATGGTTACGGCGTGCTGTGGTGCACTGAAGCGCTAATCTTTGACTGATAAGACGGGGCTTAGCTCCGACCAAATAGTTTTATGTCTCAACTAATGAAGCACATCTCATTCACAGCGGCTCGGGCAAGACGACGCTAATGTCAACACTCGCCTATAGGCAGCCAGGTGGGTTATCTGCAGACTCCTAGATAAGATAAGCGCGCTCCCCCACCCAAACCCCTGTCCCTACACTTCTACATCAACTATTCTCTATTCTGGGACATGGACCTTTAGCGGGCACTGTGGTTCAAGGTGATATTCTGATCAATGGCCGGCGCGTCGGACCCTTCATGCATCGCATCAGCGGCTATGTGTACCAGGATGATCTCTTCATTGGCGCCCTCACCGTGCTGGAGCATCTCAACTTTATGGTCTGCATCCAGTGGAATTGCATTTAGTAGCATCACTAGCTTCTATATTTTGCAGGCCAATCTACGCCTGGATCGGCGCGTCTCGAGCGAAGAGCGTCGTCTTATTATCAGGGAGCTGCTGGAACGCACGGGTCTGCTGTCCGCCTCGAATACACGGATTGGCTGCGGCGACGATGACAAGGTGCTCTCCGGCGGCGAACGCAAACGCTTGGCCTTTGCCGTCGAGCTGCTCAACAATCCGGTGATTCTGTTCTGTGACGAGCCCACAACCGGGCTGGACTCCTACAGTGCACAGCAGCTCGTGGCCACGCTGCACGAGCTGGCCCAGAAGGGCACCACCATACTCTGCACCATTCATCAGGTACGGGTATAAGCCGGAACTGCTTCTTGCTCTTACCTGCCATGTCTATCTACAGCCCAGCTCGCAGCTGTTCGACAACTTCAACAATGTGATGCTGCTCGCGGATGGCCGTGTGGCCTTCACCGGATCGCCGCAGCACGCGTTGAGCTTCTTTGCGGACCACGGCTACTACTGCCCGGAGGCCTATAATCCGGCGGATTTTCTCATCGGTGTCTTGGCCACAGATCCCGGCTATGAGCAGGCCTCGCAACGCTCCGCGCAGCATTTGTGCGATCAGTTTGCGGTCAGCTCGGCGGCCAAGCAGCGGGATATGCTGGTAAATCTGGAGATACATATGGCTCAGTCCGGCAACTTTCCCTACGACACGGAACTGGACTCGTTCCGGGGCGTGGCCTGGTATAGACGCTTCTATGTGGTCTGGCTGCGTGCCACGCTGACGCTGCTCCGCGATCCCACAGTACAATGGATGAGATTTCTGCAGAAGATGGCCATGGCCTTTATCATCGGCGCCTGCTTCGCGGGCACCACGGAGCTGACGCAGCTGGGCGTGCAGGCGGTGCAGGTGGGTCCAGTTGGAATTGCCTTGTTTAATAGCAGACTTCAATTGGGATTTCTTGCAGGGCACGATATTCATCATGATATCGGAGAACACCTATCACCCCATGTACTCCGTGCTGAACATCTTTCCGCAGGGCTTTCCGCTCTTCATGCGCGAGACGCGCTCCGGCCTGTACTCCACGGCGCAGTACTATGTCGCCAATATATTGGCCATGGTGGGTTAGTTGGTTATCTTCCAAAGATTATTTGATTAGCTTTGATCTCCCATCGGCAGCTGCCTGGCATGATTATCGAGCCGCTGCTGTTCGTGGTCATCTGCTATTGGATTACGGGCCTGCGCGCCACGCTCTACGCATTTGGCATTACGGCGATTTGCGTGGTGCTGGTGATGAATGTGGCCACCGCCTGTGGATGCTTCTTTTCTACGGCCTTCAACTCGGTGCCGCTGGCCATGGCGTATTTGGTGCCGCTTGATTACATAATTATGATAACGTCGGGCATCTTCATCAAGATCAGGTGAGCAACGGGGCCCAGTTGAAGGATTCCAAGCTAAACCCTTTGCTTGTCGTTTGCAGCTCCCTGCCTGTGGCATTCTATTGGACGCAATTTCTGTCCTGGATGCTCTACGCGAACGAGGCCATGACAATTGCCCAATGGTCGGGCGTGCAGAACATCAGTGAGTAGCAGGAGGAGGAAGCATCCTGGCCCTCTATTGATTCTCTCTCTCTCTCTCTCCGTGTTTCTCTTCTCAGCCTGCTTTGGGGAGAGCGCGGACCTGCCGTGCTTCCATACCGGCCAGGATGTGCTGGACAAGTACAGCTTCAGCGAGTCGAATCTCTATCGCAATCTGTTGTCCATTCTGGGCATTTACTTTGGCTTCCATCTGCTGGGCTACTATTTCCTCTGGCGTCGTGCGCGCAAAATTTAACGTGACCGTCTGCCGTGCATTGTCCTCTTTGTTTGTTTGCCTGTTTTGCTGTAAATAAATTTAATTTCATTTGCATAATAAATTATTATTCAGAGGGCGAATTTTTGGAATTTTCCCAAGTAATTTGCGCATTTTTTATTAACAACATTTGCGAGAGACATTTACAATAATTAACATTGAATTGAATTTAAATTAAACAAACAGCGAACTACGTTAAACATTAAACATTTTCACTTAAATTGACACAATTGTACTTTGATATATGTTTTATCCTATGCATAAACATATATGTATATTTCGTATATATATTTAGTAGACCTACGACAGCTGCCAACACTTGTTCATTTTGTAGAAAAACTTAGTTAAATTATAGTTAAGAGATATCATAATACAACAAGCATGTTCCCAACTTTCATTTCGCCGCAATTTTGACAAGATCTTGTTGCGAAATCAAAATTGGGCACATGTTGGCGCTAGTCGAAGAGACATCATAATATAACTTTTCAAACATGTTCCCAATTGCAATTTCGCCGCAATTTCGCCTTAATTTCGACAAGATTTTGCTGCGAAATCAAAATTGGGCACATGTTGGCGCTAGTCGATGAGATATCATAATATAACTTTTCAAACATGTTCCCAATTGCAATTTCGCCGCTATTTCGCCGCAATTTCAACTAGGCTTTTTATTCGACGAAATCAAAATTGGGCACATATTGGCGCTAGTCGATGAGATATCATAATACAACTTTTCAAACATGTTCCCAACTCCAATTTCGCCGAATTTCAGAAAAGCGAAATTGAAACTCGGAACATATTTGCATTGAAGCTTTCGAGTTTTAAGCTAAAACTATGTAACACAAGTCTATAAAATAATCTATACATTTATAATAGAAATCACAGCGAGAATTGATTTTTTTGTAATCTGTTTGTTTGTTTGTTTTTTTTTTTGGTATATCTGCTCTTTGGTTTAGTTCAGTTGAAGTATTTGTTATATTATACATAGTTTAAGTATTTCAAAATTTAGTGTTGATTTCAGCAACATTGAGACAAATACACACACACAGACATTCACTCAATTAAATACACACACACACACATATAATACTAACATACACATAAAGCGCGTTAACAGTTTGAGTTTTGGTTTTCGTTTTGAACTTATTCAATTTCTCAAATAAGCGCAGTTCCTAATTACGAATTCGCTTTCAGTTGAAACAAGTTCGATAATCTTAAAAAACTAAACTTTAAGTTGAGAGTTGTCGATATCGTAACTTGGAACAGTTTCACATAAATATTTGTTACTTGAATCGATTTGCATTTTAGTTTTTCAAATTGACTGGATATCTATATAGTTCGTTATATCGTATGTAACAGAGCTTAGAAACTGTTGCTTGTAGTTTGCATACCCTGTAATTTGAGTTTAAATTCAGTTGCTTCACTTTCCTAGGCCGGCTCGCTGACTAAGACTACAATAGGAACCAGACTTCCCCCTTACCAACTAAACGTAACTCTAGCCTATGGCAACAGCTAAGGTTTCTCGTAGTATCTAAGTTCAAAATTGTTGCAAATTCGTTTTGCTGTGATATGCAGGGTTGCCACCTGGTCGTTAAAGAGCATAAGGAACGAGATCAATACAATCAGGGGATGAAATACTGATGGGCATATATGTTATATATATATCGGGGCAGCCAATCCTCTAATCCTCAAATCCCCCAGCCTGACAGTCTGTCCGCAATTTATACATATTTACACACACTTTGGGAACCTTGGGTACCCCCACCACCACCACCACGGTCTATTTAGGTGCTAACCTGCTGCAGGAGTCCTGCCCTGGGACTGCTGCCTCCTTGGCTGCCGCTGGCGCTGCCATTTGCCGAGCTGCTGATGAGGATCATGCTGCGGCTGTTCGGCAGCACGAAGACCTCGGTGGCCAGGCCGATGGGACTCATTGATTGGGATGTCTTGATGGGGCTGCGATTCGGCTCCAGGCTGGCCGTGCGCGGCTGCCAATCGTGCACCTGACCCAGACCCGCGTCCGCGTCCGCCTCCGCGTCTGGAAACGGATCCGTATACGTATCCATATCCGGGCCAGCGCGCAGGCATTCGGCTGCCTTGTCGCCGCTCTCCAGCGTGCCGGGTGCCGTTTGCGTGGAGCTCTGGCTCTCATTGGAGAGCAGACGTGTCGTGGTTGTGGTGGAGCTGCTGCTGGTGGTGCAGCTGGTGGCCATGGCGCTCACCGAGCGCCGCTTGCGCTGCTGCTGTGTATATCCGGCCGTTGTGGTCAGCGTCTCGGTCACATGGAAGCTGACGATGGTGTCCCGCTTCCGGAGCGTCGCCGTCGCGGAGCTGCTGCAGCTGACCACCTCGCCGCGCAGATTCTGCTGCTGCTTGTTGCTCAGATCCGAGAGGCTGATGTTGTTCTTCAGCAGAATCTCCAGATTCTCGATGGAGTCCTTCAAGGCGCTCTTCTCATCGCGCGTGATCTCCTCCTTTAGCTCCGCCACCAGCGTTCTCGGCGGCACTGTGGGCGTGGCACAGCTCTCCGCATTACGCATCAGCACGGGCATCGCCCCAATTGTCACCACGCTGGAGCTGTTGGAGATGCTGGGCGTGATGCCCGTGGAGCTGACATTGGTGCCAAACGACGAGGAGATGTTGTGCTGCCGGCAGAGAGATTTGCGGCGTTGTGCGGTCAAGTTTTGCATGTTCGAGTTGAGATCAATGTCGTCGTCCTCAACATTATCATCATCATTGTTATCTTCCTCTTCCGGGTGTGAATGTGCCTCTACAGCTGCGGTGGCTTCTATGGCTGGCGGCGACTCTGGCGTTGTTTCTGCCGGCGCCTCGTCTGCTGTCTTCTGCTCCACGGCAACTGTGGGTGTCGCCAGCGCGGGCAGCTCTGCCTTGCCCTTGAGAAAATAGGTTATCATCGAACCCTTGCCCTTGACATTGACGCTGCCGCGGCAGGTGAGCTCGAAGCCGCGGCACTCCAGCAGCTGCTGCATCTCCTGGGTCACCTGGACGCCGTGAAAAGGTGTTGATTTCATTTGGCAGCAAACAAAGTGAAAGAGGAGAGAGGGGGAAGAGGTGAAGGGAGAGAGATAAGAAAATAAATTCAAAGTGACAAGTTCATTGGCACCGCGTGCGCCAGCATTTGCTTTATTCACACACACACACACACATACTCACAATCAGTGGCAAAACCTGTGCTCAATATTTCATGATAAAACTCAGACCAACACCTGCCGACCTCCCGCTCTGCCACGCCTGTCCTCTCTTATCGTCTTATCCCTTGTCCGCTTAATAATTTATTTCTCTTTGCAAATTTTCATGCGCTTCGCTTTTATCGACGACGCACGGCAAATAAAATCAAAAGCTGCAGATGTGTACGTGTGTGTGTATACGTCATTTTGTAGTCAAGTATGTGTGTGTTTGTGTGTTTAAGTTTCAGTGCGTGGGCACTTTCTAATGCCCATGAAAATTGTATGAGGCGTATACGCAATGCGTGCGAGTGAAGCGCAGCCTGTTGCCCATTTCGCCAGCTGCTCCTGCTGGTCAGCTATTGATTAGGGGGCGTGGCTACGGCAACGGCTATTGACAAGTTTTCTTTGAATACCCTGTGACTAAAATACGGACATTACACGGATAGTTCGACTTGACATATATTGGAAATTATATAGATAATAAATATTGAATATCCTCGCTACTCCTAGATGAAAAAAAAATACTAAAGGTATGCACTGAATTTTTGGTATATATCGTCAACTTTAAGTCTTCACAATATCATAGCTTTCGAATAATAATAATGATAATGATAATGATAATGATAATGATAATGATAATGATAATGATAATGATAATGATAATAATGATAATGATAATGATAATGATAATGATAATGATAATGATAATAATGATAATGATAATGATAATGATAATGATAATGATAATGATAATGATAATAATGATAATGATAATGATAATGATAATGATAATGATAATAATGATAATGATAATGATAATGATAATGATAATGATAATAATAATAATAATAATAATAATAATAATAGTAATAATAATAATAATAATAATAATAATAATAATAATAATAATGATAATAATGATAATGATAATGATAATGATAATGATAATGATAATAATGATAATAATGATAATAATGATAATGATAATGATAATGATAATGATAATGATAATGATAATAATGATAATGATAATGATAATGATAATGATAATAATAATGATAATAATAATAATAATAATAATAATAATAATAGTAATAATAATAATAATAATAATAATAATAGTAATAATAGTAATGATACTAATGATAATAATGGGCTTGCGTGTGTGCCCGCATTCTGTCTTGTGTGCCCGTATTGTGTATTTTTATGTATCTCAATTTAAAGCTGATTGCAGGGTATCTAATAGTCGCGCACTCACGCGTTGAGCTCTCTTGTTAATTTATTTTTTAAAGTGACATTTGGCAGGCTAAGAAATCCGCAACGAAAAATCCGCCCCGAAAAGGTGACCTACCGTTCGTTCAACTCACCTGTATGTGATCCACCAGACCCGTGGAGTCCATGCGCGAGGCCACGTTCACAGCATTGCCCCATATATCATACTGGGGCTTGCAGGCGCCGATGACGCCCGCAACGACGGGACCAATATTAATGCCTGCAGGGAAAGAAAAGAAAATAAAACGCGATAAAGTTTTTCTTTTTGTTTTTGGCATATCTTTTGGGCTAATGCTCACCTATGCGCAGGCGAAAGTTGTTGAAGGAATGCATGTTGACCTCCTCAATCTTGTCGAACAGCTGCAGCGCATAGTCGGCCATTGCGGTGACATGGCTAAAGTTCACCTGGTCGCAGGTGTTCGCCGTCAGGCCAGAAGCAGCCATGTATGTGGCGCCGGTGCTCTTGATTTTCTCAATGCAACTGTTAAAATATAATCCAGATCAGCTAATACAGAATTGATCCTGAGGTCAAACTATGACCAAAATGTCATCAATCATGAAAATTGGTTAACTCTTGACATAAGTTTGGGAGTTGGAGTCTGGGGAGAGCCTCGGGAACTTCTCATGGTAATTTTTAACATGTTATTACACCATAAAATTTACTACCTTAAAAACTTAAGAGAAAGGAACTCAACTTACCGGAAACGCTCCTCGCTGAGCAGCTCATCGAAGTCGGCAATTATCTCATTGAGCAGCCGGAGGCATTCGACGCCCTCGTTGTTGCCCTCCAGCTCGACGTAGAACTCGGAGAAATTCGGTATGCTGGCAAAGAGTATGCAAACGGAATCGCATTGCTCGTGATAAAGATCCTGCAAAAGCGGTCAAATGCGAAAAATTTCATTAACCCGAGCAGAACCCTTGAAGGTTTAAAGAGTTGAGCAAGTGTTGGACATTCAATCAGGCATATGCAATTCGTTGAAATACAAGTGTGTCGCTTGGGAGATAGGAAAGCGATTCGGCTTAAATAGAGGTAGACGATTTGTCTGGAATAATCAATTGTGCTGGGATTGGGATATTTTAAATAATGGAATCTCTTGTCTTCCGATTGCTTTGAGAGTTATAAAACCAGTTCACCTGGCTAATTGTAAGACGTTTCACCTGGCTGATAAGAAAGCCTATCGCCTGGGAGATACGAAAGTGTTTCCCCTTAAATGTAGAAAGACGTTTCGCCTGGTAGAATCAATTGCGATTTTCGCATGGGATTGTGATATTTTTAATAACGGAAGATCCGAAGGAGATTCGTTTTATAGATGTCGCCTTTCTATCGCGTTCTTATCTTCAAGACGGAAGCTTCTCTCTTCCGATGCCTTTGAGAGTTATAAAGCCATTTCCCATGGATAATTAAAGCCTATCGCCTGGGCGAAACACTTGCGATGTGGCTTGCTTACATCACGAAAGAACTTACGGAATGCGGTCAACTCTTGTCCAGAGCACACACAGATATCCGCACACACAGGGTATCGCAGACCACACGTCGATGGTTTCCAAATGTGTGGCTGCTCATGTGATTTGGTTAAAAGTTGTTGATTGCACACTTAATGTGGCAAGTAGCGTCCCCTTGCCACGGCACAGTTGCGTGTGCCCGTTGCGCATTGAACCGTTGCAAGCCGCAACATGTATGCGGCCAGCGGGCATATGTGCCAGCCGTAAAAGTAGCATAACAAGGCGGAGGCGGAGGCGGAGAAGGAGGCGGAGACGGAGGCTGTGCCAAAGTCAGGGCAGGTGCGGGGACTGGGATATACTTATCAAACGACCTCTGCTGTTGGCCTTGTTGCTAGGCACAAAAGTTTTCAAGCTTTTAAATACATTGCAAATTGCCAGCAACCAAACTTGCAACACACACACACACACGCACACACACACACACAAGTATTTATACATATACATTTAATACTCACATCGAGGTGCTTCTCGCGGCTCAGAAAATGCTCAGCGACATGTACGGGCAAAATATTTTCGAGCAGTTTACGATTATAAGCCTGCAAATGCTCCATATCCTCTTTTTCCTCTGCGCGTTACGAAAGCGAACACGTGTTCCAGATATGTAGAAAAAAAAGAAAAGATAAAAAAAAAGAAAAATATACGAGCAAGAAAACACAAAAAACAGCAGCGTGAAATTGAAATATCAGTTTATCAGTTAACCGAAGCGTAAGGCGTACAGCAAAAAAAATTACAAAAATATACGAGCGTACAGCAGTCGGCTGTGCACGACCAAGAGATACCCTGTTTACAGTGCAATAAGTATATATATGTCTAAGATGAGTTGTCAAGGTTTGCAAGTTGTCAATGTCTGAAGGATCTCTAAGATGAGGGTCTCATTAGTGTCTATACCAAGGCCGTCACAGCAAATGTTGATGGTTTCCTTCACGGTTTGAACCAATGCCACGCCTTTTAATTAGGTCGTGAACCAGGTTCTCCACATATATAAGTCCGGGTTTTAGTGCAAGCTTTCCTTAAACAGACGTCTTTTAATATTACATTTTTTATATTTTCTCGTTTTAGCTTATCTCTTATCTATTTTCAATTTCAACTCTGTCACATGCAATTATTATTTTTTAATAACGATTATTAAATATAATATATCAGAACCTACCAAACTAAACGTTTAAGTGGAACTGGTCACAGAATTCTCCTAATTTTATCACAATTTTGATAATAAATAAAGGAAATTATTCGAATTGTGTGTAGAAATACGTTTTTGTAATTTGTTAAAATTAAATATATTATTTTTAAAATTAAAGTGGTTTTTCAGAATTCCATATTTTATATACTTCTTCTAGATAAATATATTGTTTTATTCTATTACTAAGTATCTAAGCTGTTGCGTGTTTCAATACAAACATTTATTTTGAAGGAAGACAAATTGACTCCCCAAGCCCAATATACCCGCATTAAAAACTCTGAATATAGGGCATTAAAGAGAAGCGTTAAAAAGCGCTGCATAAGCTCAGGCGCCAGTCAAACACGATTGTGATTGTTCCGAGTGTATTAGTGTGCGGCTATATGTGTGCGTGTGTGGGGTGTGTGCGAGTGTGTGAGTGTGTGTGTGAGTGTGTGTACTAATACTAATGAAAATCCTTTTGAACAACAGAGCCAACGGAAACGCAGAAGATGAGCAGCTGGCATCAGCCACCGAATGTTGCCAGTTGCCCAAAGGGGGAGGAAAGTGGGCGGAACTTGTTGTTGTTGTTATTGTTATTGACAGAGAGAGAGACTGTCAGTTGTTTAGTCAGTCAGTCGGCTATAAGTTTGCAGTTGCAATTGCTAATTAGCAGCCGAAAATGTAGATAACGTTGAAACTTACCCGTTGCCTGCAGCTTCCAGATGAAGTCCAAGCGGTAGGTGGCCTCCGTTTGGTGACTGTGGAAGATCAGGGCGAGCATAAATGCAAATAGGAAGATTGAATCAATTATATAGCGCAGCAGGGCCTCCTCATTGCTAGACAGTGCAACAATTGCAGCAGTAGACCAAGTTATTCCAGTCCATTGAAGCGCAATGCCAAGACGCAGTCGAAGTACAAGCGGGAGGAGGTGGACGTTGATGTGGAGCAGGCCCCAGGCAGCAAAATGTGTAATAAGAAACAGAATGTTGTGAATGTAGTTGTGAATGTAGTTGTGGTGGAAGCCAAGTCTCAGCCGGTTGTCTGATAAATGAAGCCAGCGCCAAGTGCTAAATACAATTTTAATGCTGTTTGCGGCTGCTCTAAATGCATTTTCAGCATTTTCAGCTGTGCCAGCCGGGAAAAACCCGGGAGGCGGGAGACGGGAGAGGGGAGGTCGGGGGGCAACTGCGCCAAATTATATTACAGCATAATTGATTCTCATTCAACCGGCAGAGAGAGAGAGAGAGCGGGAGAGACAGAGAGGGGGGGAGGCGAATACTTACGCCAAGTCGGCGCTCATTTCCCTGCTGCTCAGATACAAATATGAGGAGCAGGCCATGTAGCAGCCGGCAGCCAAGAGGAGCAGCAACAGCTTCAGCAGGATGCGCAGCACTTGGTACGTGGCACAGCACATCATCGAGAGCAGCGTTAACAGCAGGAATGTCTGCAACAAGATATAATAAAAGTAAAACTATCGAAATCTCTATATGTATACATATAACAAGGCAAAGACGTGGAATGCATTTCTTAAAACGAGTGCGGCTGAGTTGAGAGTGCCCGACTAGCGGATACTCTGTGTCCAACTGCTGAGTGAGAAGGATTTATACACCGAGTATGGTTCTTTACATTATGAAAAAAGTTAATTCTTAAGACTTCTCTATTTGGTGAATAAGCCTGATGTTTAATCGTTATCGATATTTATCGATTTAGCAGAAATCATGTTAACTATCGGAAGATTATGATAAACCTTATCTGCGCAAGGTAAAGACTTAATTTCAGCTTTAGTATCTCAAACTCATAAGATACTGAAAGACACCCGTGCTTAAGAATCGATATTTATCGGTTTAGGAGGATTGACGTGAGTTATCGAATAATTTAAAATATGTTGTCTGCGAAAGGTATACAAAAACGTATATTCCAAATTTTGATTCTAAAGCTCTTCTAACACACACGCAGACGGAGAGGGTTAAATTGCTTTGGTTAATCAATAATATATATACTTTATAGATGACACCCTTTCCCTTTCTTGATAGGGTATCACAACTTACATTGTAGGCCAAATAGTAATCACAGCTTTCCTCAGGCAGCAGCTGCTGCTCTGGCTCCAGTCCCAGCTTCGTTCGTTCCAGTTCGCTGACATTCAATTGTAGATCGAGCCATTCATTATGCAGCAGCTCCAGTTGACGCATTGATTCCTCCATCTATATAGAAGGCAGCGATTACAATTGGCGGCTAATTAGCAGCACGACCAAGTCACCTGGAAATGCCATTTAACAGCGCTTCGAGTTTAACGAGGCGCCTAACACGCACTCTCAGCCAATGGCAATAAAAAAAAGTCGTTGCTAAATGAATAGCGAATGCGGCTCGCAAGTGCCATTAAACGTGGCCGATAAAGATACAGAGTAAGCCAAGAAATGGAGTGCCAGAGAGAGAGGGAGGGAGTGAGGGAGAGGGGCACAAGTTGACAACTAAATGTCAAAGCGCTGACGGAGGCTTTGAACCTGCCTTGGGGGCATGTGGCAGGTAACAAGTAGCACATAAATGGGGCACACTTCATGTATGAAACGTGGCTGGCATTTTTGTTGCCTCCCAGCCAGCCTACCCCTCCTCATACCCCACCTCCCCTCCTGTTGCTTGGCGTGTTGTCTGCCCAACTTTAATGGAAAAACTTTTGTTTTGTCGCGTCCCAAAGAGAACAAAAGCAACCGCATTGAGTTGGCTCAGGCAAACGCCCTCGAAAAATTGTATTTCAGCTACAAAACGTAAATTTCATTTTTATTATTTTGAACTTCACTTAAATGGGCCAAGAAAAAACTGAATAAGAAGAAGAAGAAGAAGAAGGCAGCCTGGCAACTTGAAAGATGCGACTCTTGTAGATATTAGGCCGCAATTTGTTGCGCGCACAAATTATGCATAAAACAAGAAACTGGCATTTCGGGGATTTGGACATTGTTTATGTTATTATAACTAAAAGCACAACTTAAGAGCTTCATTCCCGCTTACCATGGCCAGCAACGTGGTCAAAACAATCAGCGACACGGTGGCAAAGGCGAACAACTGTGACAAGGTGCGATTGCTGTGAACGCGCAATGAGAAGCGCTTCATTCCGATGGGCAGCTGAAATGAAATACAAATTTATCACAAAAGATGGAGCAGTATCTGCGAGCTGAAGCAGATTAAAGACCCTTGAAAACAGATATACGATATAAGAAAAAAATAAAGGCTTTCTACGGCTAAATACCAAATACTCTTCATATTCGAGCCTTTGTTTCTATAGAAGATGTATGATAAGGCTCTGCAGAAATGTCAGATTAAACCTTGCAATTGCTTCGTTCGATCAAGATATCTTGACAAAATAAAGTTTTGCTTACTAAACTCATTTTTCGAACGGTTTAAGGCGCCTTCTAAAGAGGCGTAGAATTGGAGGAGTCCGAGTGCGGAGGAGATTGCGGATCTCAGATCCTTGTACATTTTTTATGTTAGTCTTAACAGTAGAAAACGTTTTATTGTAAATATTCATATAAATTTAATTTAAGTTGTTCCCATATTAACAGTTAAACTGAAATAAAGCAAACAAAATGTATAAAATAAAAAATCTAAAGGTTTTTCCCATAGAGCTATATGATATAGAAGTTGGATGTTCATGAAAATAATGTTAATTTGAAAGAGGCAAGAGGTAAACTCCTTTAAATGTCAATATTTATCAAAGTATTTTTGAAAGAAGGGAAAGTTTTGCAAGGAAAGTTATACATGCATCTGTCAAAAATTGGAAAATAAATTCCTTTTTTCTCCAACTCAAGTGAAAGTGTTGAAATTCCTCTAAAATGGGTAATATTAAAGTGAGCAAAATATTCAAAACCTGAGAAGCAAGGCAATAATATAATGTTCCACTGCAGCCGAATTCGACTTATGTACTGCCTAGAATTATTAGACAAACCTATACAAGGATATCTTCAAAACTGAGATGAGTTGGCATAAAAACAGACACAAGGATGGACACAGCTCTATCAAATCAGCTCACGAATATATATATACGTATACTTAATGAGCTCGGAGGTGTCTGCTTTAATGTGTTATAAATTACCTGTCAAAATTCGCATAAGCTGTGCAGGGGTTGTTTGTGGGAGAATGGACTAGAAACTATTTTGCTTACCTGCAAATTGATTTTGTGACAGGCCATCAGGAAGACCAACAAAAGCAGCGTCAGCAAAGAGCCAATGGACGTCACCAGGCAGGGTATGGAGCTAGAGGAGTAGCGAGTTGAAATATGGATATATTTTGCCCGACAACAGCACGGATTATGCGCAACACTAGTTGCACTTAGAGCCAGCTATAAAATAATCATAAAGCACTCACATGTCAAAGACCGCAAAGCGCATAAGTGTGGTGCCCAGCAGGACGAGGAGACTGCAGTAGAAATAAACGCAGAGCATGCGATCCGGCTCGCTGTCATACTGCGTTAAAGTACAAAGGATTAGGGTTAAGCTGGAGCCAAGCGAATGTGGCTCCTCTCTGACTCACCTTGTGCTCCAGCGCGGCGCTCTTGAAGCACAGCAACAGCGACTGGCAGTGCTCGGCCCGCAAATGATCGATGCTCCGTGCATCGATGGCGCGCATCAAGTACTCATTGACCTCATCCTCGGGATCCTTGTGACTCTCCGAGCTGTCACCAAATCCAAATCTGCAAAAGAAAGTGATTCATTTGAGTGGGTTTGTTGTGGCTGCTGTTCCCAGCTTCAAAGCTAAAAACTAAATTGATCTTGATTAAAGACCAACATTTGGGTCTTAAATTTAGTATGATTTAAGTTCTTGAGCTCTTGAATCAAGTTTTATATAAACTTTTTAATTGTATTAAGAGCATATTGGTCTTATTTTATTTTTATATGTATTAGGGACATATTGGTCTTATATTAAGAAACATTAAAACTTGATTCAATACTATGCCGTTCTTAAATTCAGCGTAATAAAGCTGAAAAAGGAGCAAAATGTAATTAATACAAGTATTTTGGGTCATAAATTAAGTATGATTTAAGTTCGTGAGCTCTTGAATCAAGATTTATATAAACTTATTTCAAGCTCAAACTGGAATTGAATTAAGAACTTGATTCAATACTATTCCGTTCTTAAATTCAGCTTAATAAGGCTGAAAAAAGACCAATATGTGATTAATACAAGTATTTTGGGTGATAAATTTAGTCTTGAATCAAGATTCAAATAAACTTATTTCAAGCTCAAAATGGAATTGTATTAAGAACATATTGGTCTTATATTAAGAATCATTAAAACTTGATTCAATACTATGCCGTTCTTAAATTCAGCGTAATAAGGCTGAAAAAAATACCAAAATGTGATTAATATAATTATTTTGGGTCATAAATTTAGTATGATTTAAGTTCGTGAGCTCTTGAATCAAGATTTATACAAACTTATTTCAAGCTCAAACTGAGATTGTATTAAGATAATATTGGTCTTATATTAAGTATCATTAAAACTTGATTCAATACTATTCCGTTCTTAAATTCAGCGTATTTCAAGCTCAAAATGGAATTGTATTAAGAACATATTGGTCTTATATTAAGAATCATTAAAACTTGATTCAATACTATTCCGATTAAATTCAGCGTAAAGAGGCTGAAAAACGTAACAAACAAAGCTTGATTCCAGTAATTTTGTACTTAAAAGGTTATACTTGAAATAAGAATTTCATACTTGAATCAAGTATTACCAGTCTTACCGTACTTTTACGTCCGGGCTTACTTGATTCAAGTACGAAATTCTTGATTTTTGTTTTCTCTGTGCACTTACTTGGATGCGTGCTTCTGTGCGGTGCCATGGCCCATCATGCGCAGCTCCTTGGATATGTTGCCATTTACCTGAAGGCGATTGCGCGATTTCTTGTGCTGCAGGTTCAATAAAAACAGCTTGTTATTGCTGATTAACTATTAATCTTTACGATACTAACCGGCCTGTAGATATCGCCCGGCACTATCAGATATGTCTCAATCTGATGATCCTTGAGATAGGAGTTTCGATCGGCTCCTTTGCCCGCCTCCACCTCGTAATCGCCATCCAAGCACTTGAGCGTCTCCTTCGTAATGTGCACGCGTCTGTAAGGGTAGAGAAATTGCAGGATTTGCCACATGGCAGGCGGAACATTGAAAGGGGGACAACATGCCTCGGCAACATGTGGAGCGCTTTTTGGTTGCCATAACCACAGCCATTATGTGGCATTACATGCTGCACTTGCCGATGCCACACCCCCTAGCCCGGAGATGCTGTTGTGTAAATACTTTTTAATGTTTTTTTATAGCTGCCGCAGCGGGAAGCCGGCAGCAGCAGCTTATTATGTTATTCTTTTCCAGGCACTGCCACGTGCCACGTGCCACGTGCCACGCGCCGCGGGGCTGCAACAATGGCTGCGGCTGCAGCAAAACTCTGCGCCAAGTTGTTGATTCTATTGATAATTACATGGCGCTTTGTTATGGATTGGCCAGGCAGTTGCCGTTTCAGCTGCTGCTGCTGCTGCTGCTGTTGCATGCCTCTTGCCGCTTATCAGGCTAAGGGAATCCTCCTGCCTGCCCTGAGGCTCACTGCAGCTATTTGCTTTTAATTTCGCTTGAGACAGGGCTAACAAACGAGCTGCTGCTGTTGCTGCTGCTGCTGACCCACATAGGAGCCAAAGTCGTGCCGAAACAAATTGCTGAAGTGTTGTTGAAAGTGAAGCAACTGAATCAACAGCAGCAGCAAGTGCTGGCCAGTTAGCGTGGTGGGCGTGGCATGCAACAGCTCCATAATCGATTCGACGATTGGCCAAAGAGAGGCAGGCAGAGGCCGAGACGAGGCGAGGTGGGGTGGGCTGGGGTCGGTTGACTTGCCAATAACTTGACGCCCCCACCAACCACAACACACACCCACTCTCTCACACACACACACACACACAGTGCGGCGGGGTATGCAAATTTGCACAACAACAACAACAAAAATTACAGCTATTACAGCCATTACAGCCACACATTGCAATCGCTTCGAAGCAGCGACACTCGACCAAGTGTCGAGAGGTTAAAGTTCCTTCAAAATGCAAGCAGCCAAACGAAGCGACAGGAGCGGAATTCACATAAAATGGGCGCCCGTTTACGACTTAAGAAAATATAACAGTGTTTCATTTCTTGAGTAGGGAAAGATCAAAGATGAAGTTCACACGAAATCGGAAAGTTCTTTGCAAATGCAGGCAGGAAACTGATCAACAGAATCTGGGCCTGACAATTTAAAAGTCAAAAGATTATTTTAAGGAAGATGAGAGAAAAACTGACAAAAATAAAAGATCATTTAAGCTTGGACTTTGAAATTTAATTAATTTTATACGTGCCACGGGCAAGGCCGGGTTATACCTGCTTGTATCGCATATAGGTCAAAATTTCCCACTCCCATAACTCGGTCGAATTTCATACGATTTTCAAGAGATTTAGTTTTTTCTTCAGGATTTGGCCTCCATTTTAATATTGCATTAAAATCTGACAACATTATTTTTGGTCGAAATTCATGTCTCAATGGTACCCTCAAATATCCTATATAGAAATAAGTCAAAATTTCCCACCCTCATAAGTCGGCCAAAACTCAACCGATTTTCATAAAGTATGGCTTTTTGTTCATGGTTTGAACTCTAGATCAATTTTGCATTTAAATCTGGCAACCTTATTTTTGGTCAAAATCCATGTAAAAATGGTACCCTCAAACGTCCTATATAGACATGGGCCAAAATTTCCCACCCTCATAACTCGGCCAAAACTCAACCGATTTTCATAAAGTATGGCTTTTTGTTCATGGTTTGGCCTCTAGACCAAATTGGCATCTAAATCTAAAAACATTATTTTTGGTCGAAATTCATGTAAAAATGGTACCCTCAAACGTCCTATATAGACATGGGCCAAAATTTCCCACCCTCATAGCTCGGCCAAAACTCAACCGATTTTCATAAAGTATGGATTTTTGTACAAGGTTTGGCCTTAAGATTAATTTGGCATCTAAATCTAACAACATTGTTTTTGGTCGAAATTCATGTAAAAATGGTACCTTCAAATATCCCATAAAGACATAGGTCGGAAGTTCCCACACCCATAACTTGGTCAAAACTCCACCGATTTTCATAAAGGTTTGGCCTCTAGATCAAATTGGCATCTAAATTTAAAAACATTATTTTTGGTCGAAATTCATGTAAAAATGGTACCCTCAAACGTCCTATATAGGCATGGGCCAAAATTTCCCACCCTCATAACTCGGCCAAAACTCAACCGATTTTCATAAAGTATGGCTTTTTGTTCATGGTTTGGCCTCTAGATCAGTTTGGCATCTAAATCTAACAACATTGTTTTTGGTCGAAACTCATGTAAAAATGGTACCTTCAAATATCCTATAAAGACATAGGTCGGAAGTTCCCACACCCATAACTTGGTCAAAACTCAACCGATTTTCATAAAGTATGGCTTTTTGTTCATGGTTTGGCCTCTAGATCAATTTGGCATCTAAATCTGACAACATAATTTTTTGTCGAAATCCATGTAAAAATGGTACCCTCAAACGCCCTATATAGACATGGGCCAAAATTTCCCACCCTCATAGCTCGGCCAAAACTCAACCGATTTTCATAAAGTATGGATTTTTGTACAAGGTTTGGCCTCTAGATTAATTTGGCATCTAAATCTAACAACATTATTTTTGGTCGAAATTCATGTAAAAATTGTACCTTCAAATATCCCATAAAGACTTAGGTCGGAAGTTCCCACACCCATGACTTGGTCAAAACTCAACCGATTTTCGTAAAGTATGGATCAAATTGGCATCTAAATCTGACAACATAATTTTTTGTCGAAATTCATGTAAAATCGGCAACTTAACCACCTCCATAACTCGGTCAAATCTAATCCGGTTTTCACGAGGTTTGTCTTTTTCTTCATGGTTTGGTTTCTAGATCAATTTTCCATCTAAATCTGGCAACATTATTCCTGGTTGAAATTCATGTAAAAATGTTATCCTCAAAAATCCTTTAATTCCTCTAATTCTCACCAATTTGTCATCTCAATCTGTCAACATTATTCTTGTTCAAAATTAAAAGAATATAAGGATCATCAAATCTAGTATTCAGTTTCAAAGAATATAAGGATAATCGTTTTGAATCGATCATAAAATGAATTCTCACCACTCTAATACAGATACAGATAATATGTTTAAGGTTAAACAAAGTCCGCTCCTGGAAGTGAGAAACGTACGAGCTGAAATTTCTGTGGCTGGGGCAAGCCAAAGTTGGCTTTAATTGCACGACACTCACATAGAAGAGGACAAGGGCTTTCAGAGCGGAAATGAGACAAACTTGTCAGCGGCTTTGGCGGTTGGTGCTTGCAAGCAAAAGTTTTTGGCCCTCGAATGGATTGTGGGCGGTGCACGCGATAAGGACTCAACTGCTTTTCATTGCATACTTGTCGGCGAGCATATCAAAGCGGGTCAAAAACATAATTCTCAGCTGTCGTAAAGTGGCACACGTCGACCACAAGCCACAAACCACAAACCACCAAAGTGACCAGTGACCAGCAAGGGCTTCACTAAGGCGTCTCTCACAGCGCAGGAAAATAATCAAGCGAAATGTGTTTGGGAAAAGACAAAGCCAAGACATTGGGTATAATGTGTCATTGGGTCTGTCTTTCGTTTGGGGCTTAAGCGGCTCAAAGAGAAAATCCGTAAAGGGCTCAGCTTTGAAGTGGTTGCTGGCCATTGTCCAACTTTGGCTGACACTAAGTAATTAACAGGCACTATTCTATTTTGTTGCCATTAGCTGGCGAGTGGAGTGTCATCGTCATCGTCATCGATACTTACCCGGGTATGCCGCCGCTCTCCATATGATTGGCCAGTGTGACGTCGTTGGACCAAACATCAAACTGCCACTTGACCAGGCCCAAAACGCCGCAGTGCACCCGACCCGTATGGATGCCCACACGCATGTTCACATTCACGGCCATTACCTCGCGCACCAGGCTGATATAGGGAGAGTGCAAGAGAGAGAGAGAGGGTAGAAGAGTAAAGGTAGTAAAAAACAAGTAAAAGATTCTAGTCGGCAGCTCTCGACTAGGGGATACCCTGAACCCTCTTCTTCCGACAGGCGATAGGAATAAAATGAAAGATACTTGATATATATATACTATTCTGGAAGCTACATATCAAGTTTGGTGACTCTAGATCATATTATTTACCAAAATTGCCTAAATCGATTTTTATCGATAACTTGGAAACGGGGCAAGTTATCGAATATCGGAAACAAACTCGATCTGCGCGGGCACTAGGAGGACCTACACCTAAAATGTCAAGTCTCTAGCTCTTATAGGTTCGGATATCCTTGCGTTCATACATACGGGCAGACGGACAGACGGACGGACGGACGGACGGACGGACGGACGGACGGACGGACGGACGGACGGACAGACAGACGGACAGACAGACAGACGGACATGGCTAAATCAACTCGGCTATTGATGTTGATCAAAAATAAATATACTTTATGGGGTCGGAGATGCATCATTCTGCCTGTTACATACATTTGCACAAATACATTATACCCTTTTTACCCAATTTCAATGGGTTCAGGGTATAAAAAGGAGGCAGCACAACAAAAGCCACACACACAATACAAAGCCACAGAGCATTTTGTGTGTGTTGGTTGTGTTCTGTTCTGTTGTTATACTCACGCTATGGCGTCAATCATATCGAGTCCCATCTCAACAGCACAGTGTGCATGATCCGGCCGGGGCTCCGGCAAACCGGAGACGCAATAATAACAATCGCCCAGCAGCTTAATGCGCAGACAATGATGCTCAGCAGCCAATCGATCAAAGCTGCAATGAAGTAACGAGAGAAGGAGTTGGAGTTGGGCAGTAAACAACATTAAATGATGAACTGTTCAGCTAAACTTAAATACAGCAAAAATCAAATAAAAAACTTGGCCTAAATATTTAATATTTAAGGCTTTGAGCTCACTCAACGCAGCGCTTTTTAATTATTCAATTAAAAAGTTGCTAAAGCTTAGCATGCAGCACGAAAAGTTGCAATAGAACTCGCAACTTTTTATTAATAACAACTAATTAAATATTTGTATGCATATTTCTTAAAGTTGCAAATAGTTTTCTGCTGGATTTAAAATACATGTTTAAGCGTTAAGTGCAGCTCAGAGCAATTGGCTGTGCTGCTAATTTATCGGTATTTTTGTGTTGTGTTTAATCTATTAACAGCCCGTTTTCGGGCTACTCAATAAGGTAAATGTTCGTCCTTGCACACAATAAATACCAGGAAATGGTTATTGTGCAGCCACCCATTGCCCATTCGATGGGAATCAATAAAGTGCCTGACAAACACCCGGCCAAAATTCAAGCCGGAGGTCTATTTTTGCTGGGCCCTAAGCCCGGCCAGCCAGCCAGGCGGCAATTAATTTGTGCCAGAATGTGCCTCTGTTTCAGCCGGCATCACCATTTGTTAGACCGTTTGACATGGCCGGAGGCCAGCAAAGAGCAAAATGGAAAAAGCAACAAAAAAAAAAAAGCAAGTTGGCAGAACAACAGACACTCACACGGAGAGAGACGGGGGCCTGTCATTATTGGACCTGGCAATGGACTCACCGTGCAAATAGCTCGTTCAGCAGACGCACTAGCTCCTCCGCCGTGCACTGATCCGACAGGCTGGTGAAACCGCAAATGTCCGCAAACAGAATGCTGGAAAGAGTGAGAACAAAAAAAAAAAAATAGTAAGGCAAATAAAAAGAGTGGCCAGAGTTCAAATAAAGTGCAAATATTACAGTTTGCAACTGTTGTTGGAGTCAAGCATAGTTTGCCGTAGTTGTATGTGTGTGTGGGTGTGTGTGTGGGTGTGTGTGTGTGTGTGTTTGTGTGGCTGTATGGCGCCCAAGGAATTCTTTAATGTATTCAACTGGCAGAGAGTCGCATTTTTGGGCGAAACTTTCTATTTAAAACGTGAACGGGCTTTGAGTTTGACTTTTATGGGAAATTTGCTGAAATCCTTGCGCCAGCCAAAAACGACGACAGTTCCTTTGAGAGCAGCAGCTTAGGCGGCTCAGCGCGTAATTTAATACTGAAAATGTGACTGGAGGGGAATAGGGGAGGAGGAGAAGGGGAGGGCAGGGGGAGGGGGGCTAAAGACAGCAAACAGGTGCGCCCTGAAGTATGCTTTATGTTGAGTGTAACTGCTGTGCGCGTGTAATTGTGTGTGCTTGTCCGTGTGTGCGTGTGTAATTGTGTGTGTGACAGTTGGTAATGTGAAGTTGTTGCTTGACATGCGTACAGTAAAGCCTCCCTTATGCGAACAGCTCCAAGTGTCGATATTTTACCTTAAATTTTTAGAAAGAAAAAAAAACATCTCTTATTCATACAAAAATGTCTGAAAAATTATATTGTGAAATTTAAATCAGAAATGCCAGCTAAAAATTCCCTGAAACGGACATTCAACCTTTTAACGGAAAAATATATGTTAACATTAGAATCAGATACTAACAAAAAAATAAAAACAACACAGATACGCTAGCTACAAATATTGAAAATAATGAAAAGTAGTCGCCATTTTGAAACAAATTAAAAAAATGTTAGAAATTGAACAGGTTTAATTATTGATTGACAGACATGCGTATGATTCTTGATCAATTCTTCGACATCTCTTTAAAGCAGCCTGCACTGTTAGCTTCTGTGTTCGTTAAATGTATGCTTTACTGTACGTACAAATTCAATGGTCGGGTTACGCACACACACACATATGCGCGCGCCAAGCATATTTATTGACTTTGCATGCAAATAAATTCATACACAGACACAAGCTGAAAGAGACGCTCGCTTTACACACACACACACGCACACAAACGAATACAATCACAAATACACACGCGCACACCCACCTGACATTCTCGTGCCGCTGTATGTAAATCTTATGAAACTGTGTGTCACGTGGCTGGCCCGCAATGTCGTCCTTCATCTCCATGGCAACGTGCCGCGGCAGCACCGACAGCAGCAAACGCTCCTGCAACATTAAGGATAACAGCACACACACATACACAGATACAAAGGGGGTAAACGGGGTGTGTTTGGCTAAGTAACAGTCAAAAGGCGCCGCCAAATTATGCCATGCCAAATGCCTGCCGGAGTTTGCCTTTGGCATCAGACGCAGCGCGCGGGCGGGCGGCCCTGTGGGGCAACAAGTGACTGCCACGCCCCAACGCCTCTAAAGCTGTCGCAGATTCATTTGCCATGCTGCCAGCCACGCTTTGATGCAGCCATTTTTTAGCGGATGCTTTGTGATTGGCTGCCGGGCTTTGCAGTTGACTGGGCTGGCCTTTTGATGTCCTTTTGCGACTCACCTGCTGTTGATTTTCGCGCTGTGTACGCAAACGCGCCTCGATGCATTGCCGCGTCTCAATGAAGGCCTTGCGCTGCGCCTTCTCCTTCGGCCAGTGCGTATAGATGCCCGTCAGATTGGCCAGCATCAGGGCGATGCAGGTGCACAGCAGCTGTGGGGAAGCGAGAGAGGGGGGGGGGGGCAGAGAAATTTTAATAGCATTAAGGCATTAGTGTCCATATCAATGTCAGGGAGAGCACAATAAAAGCGACTCACACACACACACACAGACAGAGACAGAGACAGAGAGAGAGGCGCAATTTTATTCAATTTTGCGGCAATTTAATTTCATTTATTTATACTTTTTCACCTGCACTCTGTACAGGTGTGTGTGTGAAATGCGAATTTATTGTCACGTGCCACACATTCGAGGCATTAAAGCGCTCGGTGAGAAATTGCTTTAATGTTTTGGGCAAATGTCAGACGCATTCACGCATATGCCTGCGGCTTGCGGGTTGGCAGCACAGAACAGCACAGAACCTGTTGATGGATGTGCTGTCCGTCCGTGCAGCTTGATTTGTGGCAACCACAAACAACAACAACAATTGCAGCACAGTTTCAATTTACCTCTTGCCATTGCAGCATCAGCTCCTGCTGCAGCTCCTGCTGCAGCTCCTGCTCCTGCTGCTTATCCTGTTGCGTGTACTGTGTGTGCAGACAGGTGTACAGGTGTGTGCCACTCAGCAGCATGCCACCGATGAGCGATTCACGCAAACGCAGCGGCAACATCGTGTATGTCATGTAGATGAGCACAATGCAACAGGCGCTGCCATTAAACGATTTGCTGCAAAAAATGAGCGACATTTAAATTTAGTCAAAGACAAAGCACCTAACTCCCAACTAAAACTCCCTCGCATTAATATACCCTTGCAGAGGGTATTATTATTTTTTGTCACGTTGCTAGAAAATTAAAGACTTGATAATTGATTGGTTTTTGTCAAGTTATACCGATTCAAACGGCGAGCTTTCCCACTATAATGAATAATTTTTTTTTATTAACATCGGACTACCAATTTATGAAACTCCTGTAGTGTAAAAAATTGGTCAAAAACTAATTTTGTATAGTAATAAAAAACATTTGTTTTCAAGGTATACAAAATAGTGCTAAGCATTTACAGATCTAAGCTTGACAGTTCTAAGATTTACTATGCTTCTTATAAGTATCGGGACAACGAAATCGAATAGTTCGAAAAATTAGTTTTTGTATGGAAAATAAACGTACTCTAGCTGCCTTGTTATGGAGAATATTTGCTGGCCGATTCCAGGCATACCTGATAAAACAATAATAAAAAAATAAACAAAAAAAATGTAAGGAAAACTTATCCTCTTTTCAAGATATTAAGACCAAACTCTGCAACTAAGAGCTTTACTCTTCTCCTAACATATCTGCGAAAACCATTTCAAATCGTACCACAGTTGCTCGCTTTTTCTGTAGGAAATTAACCCTTTGTTTAAAAACACTTTTAAGTACTTTGTCGGCAAGGGTATTGAATCTTCGGCATGCCTGAAGCTTATTTTAGTCTACTTGTTTGTCCATTGTATTTGTGCTGAGTGAAAGCCCGCTGTTTGGCTTTGTTGTCTTCTATTTTTGGCCTAAGCGCAATTAGCGTGCCGCAGCTGATGGCATGATTAATTCTTGCTGCCAGGCAACAGCTGTGAGAAGGCTCAGCAGCCTCTCCCCTCCACCCCCCCCTCCCCCCACCCCCTTCTCCTCCTTACAAACCTGGGCTGAACGGCATAGCTAACAGCTATTTCAATGGCCAGAAACGTGCCCAAAATGACGTATGAGACGAGCACGAGAAATATTTCATTCATGGCCGGCTTGGAGAGTATGCACAACAGGACTGCAACAAACATGAAATTGAAAATCAGAGAGAGAGAGTGAGAGAGAAATGAGAAACCAGCAGCAATTAAAAGCAAATGCAGCACAATTGCCAACAATTTGTGGCACAAAAATGGAGCACTCACATGCATAGACGATGCCGCAGATTAGCATCACGATGAGAAAAACCAGGACAGACTCATCGATGCCCGTTATCAGCGAGTAGACCACATGCGTGTAATTCAATGAAGTGTCGAAATTATCTGCCAAACCAAACAGTCCAGATTCTGTCTGTGCCTCCTCCTCCTCCTGCTCCTGCTCCTCCTGCTGCGCCGTGTCGTTGGCATCGCCATCAAAGAGCGTCAGTTTGGGCACTTCATCACGCGCCTGCCGGCTGCCGGAGAAGGACAAACGTCGCCGGATTTCGTTAGTGTCGCGCTCCTCCGTAAAGCGTTTAACGCCATCATCTCCATCATCATCAACAAAGGGAGCAGCATCATCCACATCCACAGAGGCCGCATTCAGTCGGTCAATGTCAGCAAACAGTGGCTGCGCGGCACGTTTGTATCTGAAATTGGAGGCAGTTGCAGAGGTAGGGTAATGGTAAATCGAAGTCAATAAAGAAACAAATAAGAATGATGCAGTCGGGTGCAGCCGACTGCGTGATACTCCGTTTAGAGTCCAATAGTAGCTTAAGACGAGCTACGCTATTCGCTTTGTGAATGAATCAAGATATATATATATTAAATGGATCGAAATAGAGGGAGGTTTTTACTAGCCTTCATCCCTAATTATAACATTCTAGCTCTAAGACTGTAAAAGATATAGATTTTTGCCATTTGCCTTGTCCCATCTCAATCCCTCGTTGCATTTGTACAGACAGATTTTGCACATAACAAATATACCCTCATTTTGCTCTGTAAACAGAGTATAACAATTGGTATAGGCATATCAATAAGCTTGACATAAGCTTAGCACACACACTATCCATCTTGACGGCATAAATATGGAAAATAAATCGAAAACGAAATCGAATTCGAAATGGAAATTCCTTAACTCAAGCGCGGTCCAAGCAACGCGCGACTTTATTGATGTATTTGTGGACTTGTTTATTGCTTTGCCCACAAACACGCACACGCACACACACACACACACACACACACTCACACGCACACGGACAGCAAATATTTTGCGAGCCCTTTTGTGTGTTTATGTTGCCAATTTCTTGTCTTGCTGGCGAATTGTTGAATTCTAATTTTAACTTCAAAAACAATTTACAGCGGCAAGCGGCAAAGCATAGCACACTTTTATGGGCGCCCTGCGTTCACTGATTGAATTTGGCGGCTTGACAGGCACACACACACACAGAGACAGGCACACGCATTGGCCAATGGGGCGTATGCGTAATGCGTGCTGTAAAACAGCGCCTGGACTTGCCAGTTGCCAGTTGCCAGTTGTTTGCATAACTCGCCTGTCAAAACGCCAAACTCAACCACTAACTCAGCAAACAGGCACAGTTCCTGTTGCCACTTGCCAAGGAATCCGTAGCCAGTGCTGGGACTGGCTATCAGTGTTGCCAACATTTAACTAGCAGTTAAAAAATAACTAAACTGTTGCAACAAATATTATCAACCATTTTTATAGAGAAACGTGTATTAAGCTAGGCACTAAAATTAATCTAACACTTTCTTAGTTACACAGTTGAAGTCTAGCTCTTAATTTTCAAATTAATCGATTACACATTGAGTGTATTATCGATAATTAGTAAGAGTTTATCGTTAAAAATAAAACAGGAAAAAAACCAAGGTTGCAAGTCGATTTGAATCTTACCCATAAATCGAAACTTAATCCGGATTAATTGATTAATCTAACATTTTAATATTTGCACAGTTGAAGTCTAACCTTAAATATTCGAAACTTATCAATTACACATTCAGCGTTTTTTCGAAAACAAGTAAAAGTTTATCGTTACTTGAAAAAAAACATAAACAAATGCAAAGGTTGTAAGTCTAATTTGAATCTAACCCATGAATCAAAACTTATTCCGGATTAATTGGTTAATCTAATATTTTCTTATTTTCACAGTTGAAGTCTAGCCTTTAATTTTCAAATTTATCGATTACATATTGACTGTACTATCGATAACTATAAAGGTATATCCTTGCTGACAAAAAAAAACATGAAAAAATGGCAAGTTTGTAAGTTGAATTGGAATCAAGCACATAAACCGAACTTAATCCGGATTAATTGGTTAATCTAACAATTTAATCTAACATTTTCTAATTTGCACAGTTGAAGTCTAGCCTTTAATTCTCAAATTTATCGATTACACATTGAGTGTTTTATCGATAACTAGTGAAAGTTTATCTTTACTTAAAAAACAACAAGAAAAATTGACAAGGTTGTAAGCCGAATTTCAATCAAGCCATGAACCGAAACCTAATCCGCATTAATTGAATAGAAACTTAAGCAAAAAAATAGCTTTAAAGCTAATCAATTTTTTGGCAATAAGATTCGGCGCAAAAACGAATTTTTTTTCGAAAAATTAATAAGGCTGCCACATCAAGTAGGCAAAATTGTGAAAAATTGTGGCAACACTGTCGCCCAACTCACCTGACCCGATGCTGGTGGTGCTGCTTGTAGCGATGCTTGTGCATGCGTCGATAATGTTTACGCTTCTGCCTGCGCCCCGTCACCCACCTGGCTGTCACATTTGGCCGTTGTGCCACATTATCGTTGCGGGCACGCGGCAGCTCGATGCTGTTCGGAATTTGTGCTGCGCTTGGCGTTGTTGGCGTCGTTATGGACACCGTCTGATGGCTCATTTGTTGTGGCGTGGGCGATGGCAATACGGGCATAAAGTGCGTTAGGTTCTCGCCGGTTCCATTGGCGTCCAGAAATTGAGGCGCCAATCTGATCGTTGCCGATGTGAGGCCCGTGTCGGTTGATTGGCTGCGGCGCAGCTGCAGCGTTGTGAAGACAATTTGCGTGCAGGATAATGCCAAAATGAGCGCCAGCAACAGGGCCAGAATGTGCGTGGTATTACTTTGATTCATGCGCAGAAAATAACGCTGATAAAGCATTTCCACCTGGCAAAAAAAAAGAAAGAAGAAGAAATAAAATAGTCATAAGTAGGTAGAACAAATTACGCAAATCTTGCGCGCTGACAAAAGCTGTTTCCAGGGATTTGCTGGCAGACAAAATGAAAAAATGAAAATGAAATGAAAATGAAACGCCGTTGAGCTGCCATTCAGTTCGGTTCGCCAACGATTTCCATTTCAAAATTCCAGTTAAGAATGAAAAAATTAAATAAGTAGCTTACCTGCAGGTTCTTGAACTGATGCGTCGAGCAGAGACGCAGAATGATGCGATTCAAGCGATACCAAAACGAGATGCTGGGACTTGCTGCCTGAGTGCCCGAGCTGCTCGGATTGTTGGCCTCCACATTGCTCCGGCCGTCGGCTGCATCAGCTGCGCGGAAGACAAAAAGCGGCTAATAAGTATCGAGACTGCAACAGCTGGTGAAAATTAACCAAAACATTAACTGGTTCTCTTTAAATGCTTTAAAGGAGCATAATAATATAAATCCAGATCGGACAACGTCACATATATCTGTCATAGGAACGTTCGGCTAGAACATATATGTGCTTTATACGAAGAAGCTTCTCTTCTAATATCTTGAACCGAACCGAACATGACATTTGCAATGATATTGTGAGTTATATTAAGTTACATTAACAGCACATAACTCCATAGAAAGAATCGGTTAAATATAATTTTATTAATTTATAATTATAATAATTTTTGTATACTTTCTAAAGTATTTTGAGTAAATTAGACAACGTCTTCTTTTCACTATGGTCTTTAAACCACAATTGCGAAAAAGTTTTCATTTTTCCATGTTCAAATTTTATCTTAGTCTTTCATAATTATTATTGAATTGTGAAAATGTATATGCTTAGAACAAGTAAGCACAGGGTGGGCATGGTCAAACTTGAGTTATGTTCATCAAGAGTCAACCAGCAGAATTTGATGAGTCTGTCCTTGAAACTGTTGGTCATATAATAGTTTAGCCATACCCTACGGAGCATGGCCTTGAAATGTGAGCTCAATTTAACGACATTTCTGTTTAACTTATATACTATTTTCATTATGTCGAAGAGTGTAGATAGGCTAGTGATTACAGGAAGTAATATCTTTAAGCTTGTTAATATCTTAAACTGATAAAAACAAAAAATTAATTGAATTTCGTGTTAATCTGAAATGCTTGTAATTAGGTGCGACTCCCCTTAAATGAATTATCAAAAATATTAATTAAGTTTCATGTTAATCTGAAATGCTTGTAATTACCCCAGACTATATTTAAACAGGATGTAAAAACTTTAAACTTGTTAATATCTTAAATTGCCATTAAATATGTTAATTTAATTTCGTGTTAATCATGGTAATGCTTGTAATTATGCCACACTTCCTTTATGTAGGATCTAACAACTTTAAGGTTATTAATACTTTAAATTACCATTAAATATATTAATTTAATTTCGTGTTAATCGGAAAGGCTTGTAATTATGCCAGACTCCCTTTATACAGGATGTAAACACCTTACAGCTTATTAATATCTTAAATTACCATTAAATATATTAATTTAATTTCATGTTAATTTGAAATGCTGGCAATTATGCCAGAGCCATGTGGAGTTTGTCTAACATTGTCAATGACAAATTCAGCACTAAATATTTTGCCCGAATATTTGCATAGCAAAGGCTTTTCCCGTTGACCGACCGCCTGCTGTTTGGAGCGGCAATTGTTATCCGCAATTCGATAACAAATTGAAATTTCAGTGAGGTTTTCAATTGCATTTACGGTTAATAATGCTTACAAGTTAACAGTTGAACGAGCTGCATTTGGCATGGTTTAATATATGGAAATTACATTTGCAACTTGTGGCTGCAACACAATATTTTGATCCTGATTCGCATTCGCTTATCGCCTTTTTGCCTTCGATTTGTTCACATTGTTGTTGCGTACGCAAAACTCGTTTTGCATGCAACACACAATGCCATAAAATGTTGTAAAATCGTTCAACTGACCCCCATAAAACCGCACACACTTACACACACACTTACACACGCACTCGCACACACAGAAGCACACGCACAACAATAAGAGGAATGCGTGTCGCCGGCATATACATGGGAAAATATGTTTTCTTATTTTTGTACACTCTCATGCATCAATAAATAAATGCCAAACGTGATTATGTAAATTTCTATAGAAATCTGTATATAGTATATCAAAAGCAGGAATCCATTCTCGCATTTGCCCTATTCAACGTGCCACTGTGGCAGCTACATAGAAAACAACCAAGAATGCTGCAGTCGGCTGTCAACGACTGCCAAAGACTCTTTCACGTTCTTATAAAAGATGAGCGACAATTTTGATAGAGATTTATTTACCAGGCCTGATGGGGAAATAAAGAAAATACTTTATGCTAGTTCTATTTTTGATCGAGCTGCTCTGTAGCTTTCCCTAGATCTGTAGACCTGGCCATAAGCCTACATAAACCTCCTACGCAATGTAAATATCTCAACTAAGCTACCTTTAACCAGAGCTACTTTTTCTATGAACCCTCGATCCTCACGCTGATACAAATTATTAGAGCTACAGTAACAGCATAACAGTTGTAAATAAAAGAATTTTAATCCCAAAAAAAAACGTGACTTTGCTTTGTGTAACTCTCTTATCTTGTTAAAAAATTATAGTCAAAACACAAAAAAGTAGAACTTAAACTGTGAAAGATATTAATCTTCGCAATTTAGTATGTCCTCAGTTATACACGAGTATATAATATATATATTACAAGATGCAATTCTCTAACCTTGGTAACATCGATAACAAAACCAATATACTCTCTATCACATTGTTTACGAGCATGATATAGAGAGAGTAAAATATATATGAAAATGGCTGCCATGGCAGCCCAACAACAAGCAGCTCATTGAAGGTGAAGGGGGAAAAGTGAATATTGAGAAAGTGAAGCTGAAGCTGAGGCTGAGGCCAAGAAGCTGCCTCGTCAAATTCAATCAAGTTGTGACATTCCTAGTCAGCTCTTCGATCAGACGGACGGGAAGGAACCGGCAGCAGCCGCAGCTGCAACCTGAACTTGAGCCTGAATCAAAACTCACGCACGGGAGCATGTGTTGGCATTTTGATTAGCCATGTCCATGTTCTGGGCCGGATTCCATTACATGCTTAGCCTAAAGTTGTTTTTTTTGCTTTCACATTTCTACTCACATTGCTGCAGCAGCTGCGCCTCGTCGCGCTGATAGATCATCGGGCTGTGGCAGGTGGAGCTCGAGTTGGTTGAATCAATTGACTCGTCTATGTTGCACCGTGTGATGCCAGCCTGCAAAATGGGTTAATACAATAATACTCAATAAATATTAGATAGCTGGTTAAATAATTTATAAATATTAAGTATACGCCCACGCTGCATTGCACGCTGTTTATTCTTAATTCAAAACTCATGACTCGACTCTGTCTTTTTGTATTCCGTATGGCATCTTTAAACAAATTGCCGCCCATTTGCATGCCACCTCCTCCCACACACACACACACACACACCCACCCACACACTCTATGACTTTTTGTGCTGTAAACTTTTTCAATTGACTCTCGCCAACTGGCAACGAGTGCAAATTCACATACAGTGAAAACTCCACAAACGGACAGATTTCTTAAACAAATATCGCGAAAATTAAAAATTCAGATTTATCTTAAATTTTTACTAGGTACAGAAAGTTAACCAAAATTCCGAGCTTTGCTCGACTTTTATTTCTTCTTTTACTCTGGATGTCTGTTCCTGAGGGCATTCACTGTAGAAGCACACACACACACACACACACACACGCGCGCATCCTCAATATTGTAAAGTGGCCCCTTGTGCATGCATACAATATTCCTCTATCATCTATCTCCCTCTCTCTCCCTCTCTCTCTCTCTCTCTCTGTCTGTGCAGCACACGGAACGTCGCTTGTTAGCCAAAGCAAAAGGTGTTAACTTTTTGTCAAGTGCACTTTTTAGAAAGGACAACAACAACAAGAACAACGTCTAACAATGCACAAACTTTTAGCTTGAATGATTCTGCTCAATAAAATCCCCCCCCCCCCTCCTCTTGCCACGCTCCCCCCACAGCCCCTCCACAAGCTTCAACTCCCAGCTGGGGCTATGAAATTGTATTTTAATTTGGCATCGAAGTCGTTTTGTTACCCGCTGCTTATGGCCAAATCGAATTAAATATTTAAATCGCAGAGCGAGTAGAGTCGAGTCGAGCCGAAGCCTGTCCATTAGCTGAACAAATTAATTGATGCCAGGCCAGTTACCTTCCCCAACCCCAGCCACATCCCCCTCCCAATCCCAATGGCTGTGCTTACCGCAATCAGGCTGCTGCTCACCATCGCCTTGCCTCCCTTGGCGCTGGTATTGAAATGTTCGATCACCTCCCAATTGGATTTCTTTGGCGTCGATGGCTGCGTCAGTGGCTGCGGCTGTGCCAGACCAGATGGCGACCCAGCTGCCGATGAGTGTCCAGGCACATGCAATTCCACGGAGGCTTGCGTGCTGCCCGCCTGCTTCAAGGAAGCGGAGCGGCTAAAGAATTTACGGTGTTTGCCCGAACTCACGCTCTCCTGCAGGTGAAACATGTTGTGTTTGTGTTTTGGATTGTGGCCTCATCTAGTTGCTTACCTCTTTGCTGGCAGCGAGGCCCGCAGCGGCCGCGCCGCCATGCCGCATGCCACGCAGCGATAGACGCTTGGACCATTCCCGTTTCTGGCTCTCCGATGACAGCGAGCGAAATATGTGCGTGGAGCTGCTGCCGGTGGTGCCGGAGGTGGTGGAGGTGCCGGTGCCGGAGGTGGTGCCCGTGACGGTGGCTATGTTGTGGCTGCCGCTGCCGCTGGCGCTCATTCTGAAAGTGTAAAAGGGCCGGGCAATCTTTTATAAGTATATGTATGGAGTAGGCCTGGGAAATTGATTTTCATTTTACATGCTAAAAGAAGCGCGCTAATTTTCAAACAAATTGCCAATTTTTTTTTGGGGGCTCGTGACAGCGACTGAAATGGCATTAAAACAATAAATTCGATTTTGGCCAAAAACGCTGTCAAAACAGCAATAACAACAACAACTAAAACAAACAATGCAAACAACAACAAACGCCCACGCGAAAACGGAGCGGCCAAGTTCTTTAGTCTTAGTGGAGGACTAGGCTATACCCTGTAATCAGCCAAGAGCTGTCGTTATACACATTTTAGCTTCCTTATATGCATACATAGCTAGACACTTTGAGCTGCAGTTGCGATTCTTCTTGTCTTAATCCCACACAATAGTTAACTTCATTACCGAATTAATTATATAGTCATATCTTCATTGTATTTAGTTAAAATAAGGCACCTTAATGTGAGTATGGCGCAAGGCTCTAGAATGACTTTTTTTCGATTTTGGGCACAATAGGGGAAGCTATTCGAAAAGTGAAACATTCTGTACCTATTAATAGAAGACACAAGCCTATTTGCAACGTTTCATGCATAACGCTTCAAATATTCGACTTATGCTTGAAAACGCAAGTTTCAATCTCGATATTTAATTATATTTTGACAAAAGGAAATGAAAAGATTCAATATATCGTTGTCAGTATGGTAAACGACGACATATATATATATTTCAAGTTCTAAGTCTCCTGAATCCAGACAGATCTACTCAGCTCAACATCCCGTTCAAAAATATGTACACTCCATCCGGATCGCAGCTGATTCCTGTTACATACATTTGCATAAAACCAATATACCCCCTTTTAAGAATTTTCGATGGGTTCAGGGTATAGAAACCGGCTCTGCCAATAAATATATCGTATCGTATCGCATCGCATCGTAACGTAACGTAACGTAACGTATCTACTTTTGGGACGGCCCACTTAAGTCTCACGAAATGCTCGCCAAACACGCAAGGCCACAGCCAGAAGATATAGGTTGGAACCGGAGCAGGGGGGGGGGGGGGGGGGGGGTTGGAGTTGGCTGGCTGCGAGTAAGGCAAAAGGCAAACTCAGGACATGTTACGCTTTTCAGTTTTTCAGCTAGGGCTTTAAGGTAACAACAGGAGCAAATGGCTTTTTAAAATTCGGAGAGTTGAGGGGATCTAAGCGTTTAAACAGTTAAGTGAAATTTTGTATAACCTATCAAAAGGCTCCAGCTATTATAAGCCCGAGCTGTAAGCCTTAAAAAATGTTCAAAATAAAGCGCAAATTTAAGAGCAGAACTTATGCAAATGAAGTTGTATCAATAGCCATTATAAAGAAATTGGATGCACTCAAAAAAAAACTACCAAAATTTTAATTTTGAACTAAATGAAACATAAAAGGGAAATTGTTAAGGCCAAGATTCGAGCCTAGAACCGCAATTTTAACTCATCGAAGGGCGAGTTGGTGGTTGGAGCCGTAAACCCAATTGTCTAGCATTTTTTTATGGGGATGAATATGGCTTTCAATTTTAAGATCATAAAGCTTCTATAATCAAGCCCAATTTACCTTGGGCGCATATTAAAACAAACCGCAACTACAGACAGTTTTGGTTTCTTTTTCTGTCTGTATCTAGATACTTTAGACAACGATTAATTCAGATAAATTGAGATTTGCCCTGCTGCTTAGCATATGCACAGCCCATGCACATTTATTTGGTTTAATCCCCGACTTCAGGACAGACAACTGTTGCCTGGGCCTAAGCTGCAATACGCTCCGTTTTTATGGACGCGCAAGTCTGAGCACTTTTCCGTAATGACTTTGTTGAAGCGCATAACACTAAACTGTGCCACAGACAACAACAACAACTTATACAACAACTTATACAACAGCAACAGCAACAACAACAACAACAACAATACAAACAAACAATGCAAAGGCGAAGGCGCAAAAGTTTTTTGGGTTCCTGGCCGCATTACTGGGGCCACAAGTCTTAGGGCCCGAACAGGGCGTTGCTTCCTTTTTGTTTTAGCTACTGTATATTTATACCCTTTCAGAAAGTACTACGATTTTGTCACAGAATGTGCAACACATGAAAGAAGACGTCTTCGACCCCTTAAAACTCACGCTGATAAAAGTTGCTAAGCAAGAGTAACAAAATATTAGCTGTATATAAATGAATTTTAACAGGAAAAAAGAAAAAAAAACCCTTAAAAACTATATATATATATTCTCTAAAAGTATCAACAGTCGTGTCGATATAGCTTTGTTCGTCTATTTCTATTAAAACTACTCTCCTAATTTTAAAGCTATTTTGACAAAACTTTGCATAGGTTATTGTTTTTTTTTGCAGGGTTCAAACATGTCTGAGTCAATGGGATCTATATAATCCGTCATAGGATCCATTGGTGAAAATTGTGTTCTTCTATGATATGTTTTATTTATTTTATCAAAGTATCTTGTGCACGTTTCACTTTGATCCTCACAAATATTCAAAGTCATACCCAGGTCAAATAACTATTTCAAACAGCTCTATAGAAATTAGTTTAAGTAGGGAACATTTTTCTATTTTTCATTATTCTTTGCCCAACTCAGGAAATACGTTCGGAAATAATGCTATCGTGTGCATTTACTTTACACTTCCAAGCCACATGCTCGCAAGGGTATTCAGTCTTCGGCTTGCCTTAGTTCTTTGTTGCATTTTTGCTGCTTTTTTTCAGTGCCAGAGGCGTCTGGTAAGGGGGCGTGTATAAGTACAAGTGCCGGCCGCCGGCATAAATATGTCAAAAACAAAATGCTATAAACAAATTGTTTTGTTGCCAAAAAAAAACAAAAAAACAACACGTGAAAATTGAATGAGAAAATCGAAAAATCGAAGTGGCGAAAAAAAGAAAAGAAGAACAAAAACGACGACGGGCACGTCATGTAGGGCTGCTATTATATTACAAGGGTTGGGGGGAGGGGGGGAGGGGGGAGAGGTTCTTTGAGTGCGCCTTCGACAAACCACTCGAGTTTTCGTGGAAATGGAAGATTAGTCACACTGTGCAAAGCGCTTTGCACCACTTTCGCTGCTCGGCCAATTGGAATGCCATTCAAAGTATTTTCAATTCGTTTAGACGGCGGAAAATTTTTGCCACCCACCGCGCAAAACCGCAGCCACGCCGCAATATGTATTTATCTAATTAAAATTGAAAAAGCTACGAAAAATGCGCTTAATTTCAACTACAAGACATTAATGAAAAGAAAATACACTTAACAAAAATGTTCATATTTCATGTCGAAACCAAGGTCAAAGTTCATAGATACACAATTGCCCCCCATACAAATGAAAATTGCCTATTTTACCAGAAACAATTAAACAAAAACAAGGAAAACTTTCAATTAAAATATGCCAAAACGAATTTAAATTTGGCAGCCGGCTGCTATCGACTGCACAATACCCTGTTTACTGTGGGTTTACCGTTTAAATTTGTATATAGGAGACTATTATGGGGCGAGGCCAACAAATAGATGACTTTGTATGTCAAGTTTTTAGCCAAGACGAAATCAATATACCCCTCTTCTTAACATGAAAATCAAGCAGCACTCGAAATAAATATTTAATTATATGAAATATGCAAATCTCAACCTATTCAGCAGCACATGAAGTTTTGCTGTCACCTTTGAGCCAAGTTACTTTTTCTTTTGAGCTAGTTTGAATTGCCTGAGCTGAAGCTAAAAGGCCAAAATGCATGCACGACTGCCTGGGAAACTTAGGCAAGAGAGAGAGAGAGAGAGGAGGATCATGCAAGCCGCGTACACAAACTTTTCAATTCTCATGGCTAAGACATTTTAATGGGCTGTAGTTGGCAGTTGGCAGTTGGCAGTTGGCAGCTGGCTCTTGCCTGTTGCTGTGAGCCATCTTTTTCATTCGTCGGCATTAAACATTGAGCTGGAGACTTCAGAAAACAAAACTCAGTGAGCTTTTTAACATAATCGCCTCATAAGCCTCCAAGAGGCGGCAACAATCACGAAATCAAGCAGCTGATTTAATTAGCCCAGCAACGTCCAGAGATAACAATCGAGGCGCTAGTTGAGCCTGATGGAACTAGCAGACACCCTGTAAACAGTTCTGCCTTATATTATAGAGTATTTGCATAATAGGAAACAACACACACAAGCTATTAAGGTTCCCCCTCTTTGAGATATAGAATATAATATTATATTATCATAGCTTTATTATTTATTATTATTATAAAAGAAACAAATACATAAGCACAATTATTATTACTTATTATTATTATAAATATGTAATGTAAATAAATAAAAAATTTTGTTTTAATATATTTCGGCTGCACCTCGGCAAGCGTCTTCAGGGCAATTGTTTTTATTTATATTTATTATTTTATTAATATCATAATTATATGAAACTATACAAAAGATTGACTAGATATGCCAACAAGCGCAGCACAACTTGGTCTCGCACGCTGTTAAAGAATAAATCTGCTTTATATATAGTCACAGCTGCCTTCCCTACCTTTCACTTAACTACAAGGGCTTCTTTAATTTACAGGGTATCGACTTTAAAACGTGTTAAAGGCTTAGGCCTGGCAGCTTGGCCCTCTCAGTTGTCCGTCGTCCGCCCACACACACAGCTTGTTAATCAATGTCATGCGCGCACCGCACCCCACAAAATACAGAAGCAGGTATTGAAGTACCGTTATTGGAAAACATTCTTTGCCTTTGCATTACAGTTCAATGGCAATTCATTAGATTAATGGCGCTAATGGCCTGGTAAATATTGTGGCTGTAATAACATCTACAAAAGCGGAAAACAAAACTTCGACACGACGCGCGCAAAAAAAAAAGGGAATAAAATTAATAAAATAGCAAAACAAATTTGATAA